TGAAAATTATAGGTCTTTGAAAAAGATATAGAAATTTCATACCCTACGGCAGTCTCTCAACTCCTGTTACTACAAATATTAACTTTTTTTGGATTTTATTTTTACAATGTAATGATGAATAATGCATCTTCAAACTGGTGTCTCAACCTTACTGCCAACTTTTCTCGTTCAGGAAAAATTGCCACTTATTTCCCAACCAAGTATTCCAAAGTAAAACTTTGCTCAACTTTAACTGGCTGTACTGGAAAAAAATGTACTACGAGAGTTTGGCAAGTAACCTTAAAAGTTGGCGCATTTAATAACGATTCCAAAATGGTATAACACTTAGAAGATTACTCGTTAACTTATGCACAATTTTTATTTGAAAAAAACTGATTGAAAATTTTTCAAAATTTCCTAATTAAACAGCAATTATGAAAACGCACAAGGACCCTTAAGGATAACTGTTTGCACAACAGTGGGCGTCAAAATGCTGCTGATGATGATTTACCTTTACAGCAAATGCTCAAACTGTTTTCCTTCAGCCGCAATACACGCTCGACATCTTAAAAAAGATCGGGTTATTAAACTAGCGAATCCACGGTTATTAACAAACTCAGCTGCTTCCAATAGTCTTTCCCGTAGCTCAGCTACATTTTGAATCGGCTTGAAATACACTTTTTCTTTTACAGTTCCCCAGTAAAAAAATCTAAAGGATTCAAATCAGGTGATCGGGCTGGCCACGGTATTGTACCAGACCGCCTTATCCATCTGCCTGGCAAGTTTTGATCGAGATACTCTCTCACTGAGAGTGCATAGTGCGCTGGGCAGCCATCATGCTGAAACCACATAAAAATTGTGCATAAGTTAACGAGTAATCTTCTAAGTGTTATACCATTTTAGAATCCTTATTAAATGCGCCAACTTTTAAGGTTACTTGCCAAACTCTCGTAGTACATTTTTTTCCAGTACAGCCAGTTAAAGTTGAGCAAAGTTTTACTTTGGAATACTTGGTTGGGAAATAAGTGGGAATTTTTCCTGAACGAGAAAAGTTGGCAGTAAGGTTGAGACACCAGTTTGAAGATGCATTATTCATCTTTACATTGTAAAAATAAAATCCAAAAAAAGTTAATATTTGTAGTAACAGGAGTTGAGAGACTGCCGTAGGTTGTGAAATTTCTATATTTTTTTCAAAGACCTATAATTTTCAAAACACATGAATAAAATTTTTTTAAATATTTTTCTGATAGCTGTTATGACTTTTCCTGTCACCCGGTTTCGGCTTGACGTCGACTTCTGGGACACCCTGTATATGAAGATGTTGAGATAAAGAGTGATTTTGCAGGATTTATACATTTGCGAGCATCCACTGTCGGACATAGCCATTACTGGTGAGGCCGCCCATCCTTTAGGCAGCACCTTCCACTCACTTCTGCAAACTATCGCTGACCTCATGGTGCTCTTGCCACTAGGATCTGCCTTACAACAAATGGCCATCCGATGCTGGGGAATCAGATTTGCTCCTAGTGATCACTCATTCCTACATAGGTCTCAGGTATGTGTTTAAAGCTTTAAAAGCATGTGGACTGCTTCTTACTTGTTGCGATAATTCTTGACGAGTTTTTTTCAGGTTTCGTGTGCCTTGATTTGTTGTTTGTTGTTTTTTATTGCCTCGTCAATCCGTTTCATCTAAATCGCGATGCGAGTATACGATACTATAGTATTATTTTCTGGAATTACAACGATTGGTGATGCAAATTGTGATATTCATAAATGTGTTCCAGGTGTTCAGTAATATCAGCAAAATCCTGTCGCGTACTGAAGAAATGGAAGACTTTACAACTTCGATGCATGACAGTTTTTTGCATCATATCACTTCGAATGTTGAATGTCTCAAAGATATTACTAGCAATCTTGAGGTAAGTTTTGAACATTCATTATAAATAAACGTCATAAATTATACTCGAAACACAAAACACGGCAATTTAAGATTTTAGGGAAGAATCTAATCTATATTCTTCAAGCCTATTGATAAACAATCAGTTTATAACCGGATTTAGTCCTCAAAAATATCTTTGGCAACTGTTGGGAAAATATTCTGATTAAGATTTTTTGCATAATTTCATTCAATAAAGATCTCTTTTAACGAATCTGCATGTTGCCAGGTCCAAATTTGCGACAAATCTCAAACAATCTTTTTAAACAAATTCCATTTTTTTTCGCTCCGACCGTGTTTTTTGGTTTTTTAGGGCATTCTGAACAAAAAAGGTACTTTACAACTTTACTCTAAAGTTGACAGTTTTAGAGATAAACGCGACACAATATTTGACAGTGCGAAATATACCAATTTCGTCCCGAAAAACAATATTGAAAAAGGAAAATTTCAATGTTGCCAATGTTCCGGAATATTCTCCAAATATCCAGCGTGTGCTTGAAGAATATTTATTATTATTGGCAAAATTAAAATTTTCGATTTTTCAAATTGTTTTTCGGGGTCGCACTTTTTCAAATATTGTATCTATTATATCTCGAAAAATATAAACCTTAAAGAGTAGTTGGTAGAGTATATTTTTTGTTCAAAATGGCCGAAAAAACGTAAAAACACTTATACCGGGGTATTACGTAAAAACCTAAAACCAAAATCAGTGATATTTGCTATGTGAGAAAATTATTATTGAATATATAAATTACTTAGAAAATTGCATCACTACGGATATAAAGGACCTGTATTCAAAATTGTCAAAAAACCCAAATTGGATCTACATTATCAAGATCAAAAAATATTTCTGTTGGTATACCACATGGTAGTAAACTAGGTCCACTACTATTTATTTTATACATTAATAACATTTTTAATATTTTAGATTATTGTAAACTTCAGATATTTGCAGATGATACATTAATATACATATCAGATGAAAATATACACTGCTTTAAAAATGCTAAACTCTCACTTGGCAAAAATCGTAAATTGGTTAAATGTAAATAAACTAAAATTGAATACTTCTAAAACAAAATGTATGCTAATAAGGAAATACCTAAATGAAAATACTATCACAGTTATGATACATGGAGAAATAATTGAAAATGTTGAATCAATTAAATATTTAGGTTATATATATGGATAGTAAACTAAAGTTTGAGGATCGCTATGAATACATTATTTCAAGGATTCCCAAAAAAAACAAATTACTTTTATAGGGCTTCTCAAAGTCTTGGTACCTATTCCAAGAAAATAGTTTATAATACAATTATTCTACCGCATTTACTATATTGTTCAACTATCTTGTTCACTGCCAATGATGCTGTATTCTCAAAATTACAAGTCTTGCAAAATAAAGCTATGAGAATAATATTGGATAAAAATAAGTACACCAAAATAAAATCTATATTACAAGAAATGCAGTGGTTGAATATAAAAAATTTCATATCATATTTGGTTGTTATTTTTATATTTAAAATAAAAAATCATCTTTTGCTAGAACATTTAGAACACTACATAGAATTGAATAATCATTACCAGAATTATTATATAAGAGGAAATATAATTGCAATAGTGATATAACTAGCAAATCAATATTTCAGAAAGGATTACTTGAATTTAATAAACTAAATAATGATATAAAGTCTACTTGTAATTTAAAGATATTTAACAGAAAATTAAAGGAATATTTCATGGACAATGAAAATTCTTAGAGATGCATTTTTTTTTTAAATATGTGTATGTTATGTAATTGTTTAGTTTTTTAGAAGAATATAACTGTAGCAATCATGCTAAATAAATCTTAAATAAACAAACAAACAAATATGCCAACGAAGTTTATTTATTAGCTGTGTCCGACTGGTTATTTATATGTTGCAGAAATTAAATTGCTGTACTGTGCATTGTCGCAACATTTTTCACTGCTTCAAACTGCTCAAAATGAGCTGAAACTTTAGATAAGTTTATCATTAAACACACACACAAAAATAGACAAAAATAGGACTGACTTTCACCTTATTCATCAGTGATATTAATTTTACAGATTAAAGCCTCGAGCAGACAAGCAATGATAGGGAGCTTGACAGACAATTCCACCGAAACCTTTTGGGAATCTGGAGATGAAGATAGGAATAAAACTAAAAGTTTGACAATCATATGTCCGCAAGGGTATTGTCCTGTTTTGGTTTGCGTACATGTTGATAACTGTAGAGACTTAGGGGTAAGTAATTCAGAACTGATAATCCCACTCATTAATTTTTCTGTATTACGAAGGGTGATGCGTCTTTCAATATATACAGGGTGACTTCGAAGTTGAGTCATTTATTTTAACAGTGAGTAGATCTGAGCAAAAGAAATGTTTTTTTCCTTTACCATTTTTCTGGTAAAATTAAAGTAACAAAGTTATAGCCCTTTGGAAGTTTGAGTACCGCCCTGTCTCAATAATAATATCATGTGCTCGTGTTTGGCAACAACGGATATAATCCGCCTTATCGGTTCATCGCATCGGAAACAAAAAAGCGAAAGAATTTGGAACGATGTTTTTACAATTATTTTATTCAGTTCAGTTATACATACAGTTAGTGTCAGTCGGTAACGCGTGTGAATAGTGTCTGTTGCGCTCAAACGAAATAAAAAATGGCACATGTTTATGCGGATCGGTTTCCCAATCGAGTGCAACCAACCCCTCGTGCCTTTGTTAATGTAGTACAACGGGCTCGTGAATCAGGTGACTTAAGACCTCACAGGAGACGGCATGCCGGTGCTCCAAGACCGCACGATCAAATACAGGTCCGCACTGAAATACTTGTCGGGAGGATACTTTATAAAACAAGGTAAATTTTTTTTTTATTTTTACACACATATTTTGGTTTATCTTCCTTCTACAATCATTATCTGAAAATTAATGACTCAACTTCCAAGTCACCCTGTATATATTCGATGTGTTTGTATCAAATGACAATTTTGAATGTTTGCATGTTTTTTGACTGCTCGTATGATTGATGCATTATGATTTTTTGCTGAAACAATTTACTAAATTACTGATTAATTGGGAAGTTATAATTTATGACTCTTAGCTGCTACTAACAATACTAACATTTTAGAATAAGTTATCATCTATAACTTTCTATTCCGGTCAAAACACGGACGAATTAATTAAGTTGAGGACCGTCGAAGTGGAAACTAGACTGCTCGGTGGCTGGGTAAACTGTCCAATAACAGGTGAGACTTATTTTAGTGACACTATACTGCAGGGTGTCCAGTGGGAAAGTTCACATTTCAAATTTGAATTACGAGGCAACCATATTTTCATTCCTATAAGATCAAATCAGTCCAAGCTTTAAAGGAAATTTACGGATGTTGAATTTTTTTCCTACGCAGCGCAGACTCGAGAACGTTTAAATAAAACCCGCTGAATTCACGAATATGTTGTTAGTAATAAATATTTTCTTTTCATTAGGTTTGTATTTTTTTCTTAAATCAAAAAGTGAACTTTCGCGCTGGACACCCGTACTACTATTATGATGAATATAAGTAAATCTGGGATCCACATCGCCCAGACATCGACAGCACATACTTGATCAAACTAGTAATATACAGGGTGTAAACTTTATGATAGTCATTATTGAAATGGGTCTTAGGGGGGTCAAAACAAGTCAAAAAGTTCATAGTCCAAAAGTCAATAGATTTTTGTCTAAATGGCTTTATAGTTTACAACTTTAAATGCTTTATATCGACCACAAACACACTTGACAACAGCGCGTCGATCTTTCATCACTCTTATCGAACCGGCAATCGATCGCAAACGGTAACAGGGTTAGTATGTTGTTTTGTTTTTGTTCGCGTACGTCGTCGTGTTTATTTACAATGTTCTCGAATCAAGAGTTCGCCGACATGTTGTTAGTTTACGGTGAAGCTCGTCAGAATTCAAATCTTGCGGGTCAAATTTATCGCGACAGATTTCGCCAACGGGTATACCCAAACAGAAGGACATTTGTGCAAGTGTACCAAAGACTTCGAGATACAGAAGTGCTCAGCCCACTAATATCACTGGTCAACAAAATTTTAACTTTGTCGTGCCACACGGACTTTTTTGATATTTTTTACTTTAATTGGTGATTGTAAGAAAAAATAAACAGTTAAAAAAAATTTGCTAGACAAGGATTTTATTCTATTGAGTAATTTAAAATATTAAGAAAAAACACAGATCTCGTAAATCAAAAGTTATTTTTTTTATAAATGACTTAATAATCTAAGATTTTCTTGAATTTTTAGCTTCTGGTTGGTCCCTTTTAATTGTCCAGCAGTAATCTGCTAACATATTTGGGCTCCATTTGCCCTGGTACCGCTTTTCCATATTAGAAATGTCCTGATGGAACCTCTCACCGTGCTCGTCGCTGACAGCCCCTAAATTGTCAGGAAAAAAATCCAGGTGCGAGTCTAGAAAATGGATCTTAAGTGACATGTTGCAACCCAATGCTTGATATGACAATAATAGCTCGCTTATCAACTCTTTGTAGCTGTCACTCTTGTGGTTACCCAAAAAATTTGAAACAACATTTTTAAAAGCCTTCCATGCAGATGTTTCTAAATCGATTAATTTTTCTTCAAATCTTGAATCTTTTATTAACTCCCTAATTTGAGGGCCAACAAAAATACCCTCTTGTATCTTTGAAACACTTATTTTGGGGAATTTTTCTTTTAGATACAAAAATCCACTCCCATTGCGATCCATTGCCTTCACAAAATTTTTTATTAATCCTAATTTGATATGCAATGGTGGTAGAAGCACATTATTTGGCTGTACAAGGGGTAAATACTTTACGTTTTTTTGCCCAGGAACTAACGATGCACGCGTAGGCCATGTTTTTTTTATATAGTGATTAGTTCTGTCTCGGCTATCCCATTCACATAAAAAGCAGCAAAACTTTGTATAACCCAGCTGAAGTCCAAGTAATAGTGCAACAACTTTAAGATCACCGCAGATTTTGAAGGAATATGTACTGTAATTTATTTTTTCAAGTAAAAGTTTCATATTTTCATAGGTTTCTTTCATATTTGCAGCATGGGCCAGAGGTACAGACGGAAGCTTATTTCCATTATGCAATGACACTGCTTTTAGACTTGCTTTCGAAGAATCAATGAATAAACGCCACTGGGAGAGATCAAAATATATGTCCAACATTTTCATAATCTCATTTATGTTATTGCAAAACACCAAATCTCCATCCTGAGAAAAATACGTTCTGAAGTGTTGATCACGGTTTCGAAAATAGCTAACTTTTGTATTATGATGTAGCAAATTCCATTCTTTTAGACGTGATCCTAATAGTTCTGACTGCTTTTTTGACAAATTTAAATCCCGAACCAAATCATTTAGGTCTCCTTGAGTTATCAAATGTGACTCGTTTACAATTCCTTTTAACTCAAAGTCATCGTCCTCGTCAACACATTCACCTGAAGTGGACGGTTGTGAATTGTTCTCAACAGACGTAGTTGCAACTGGTATTAGTTCTGGCAATTTTTTACAATGAGAGACTGGTCTTATAGCCGAAGATAAGTTAGAATAAATAACTGTGGTTTTTTTCTTGTAATTTATACCTTTTATGTCTGTGAGACAAAAATAGCAATCTGAAACGTGATCTCGCTGTTCAGTCCATATCATGGGTACAGCAAACGGCATAGGTCGTGCACCTTTCTTCACACACGTTATGCAACAGACATGAGGGGCCCAGGATTTGTCTTGATGGGCGACAGAAAAACCAAAACATTGGTGATAACACTCCAACACGAGATTCGTAAAATTTCGTCGTTGTTTTTTGAATGTTAGTTCTCCGCAGACATAACAAAAAGAGTTAGGATCATTATTACACTTCCTCGACATATTCACAGGGTTAATAAATCACAAAAAGTGTTCAAATTCAACAACAAATATTTTTATGAGTATTACCGTATCACAACAAATATGAGGCTAATAGACATATGACAGCTGTCATGTAATAATGAGGGTAGACTGATAAAACAAAATTAGCTGTCAAAGTTCGTGTGGCAAAACCAGTGTTGACCAGTGTATTCGCACTCGTGAAAGACAGGTTACTGTAGAGCAGGAGGAACAAATTTTAAATATCGTGGAAATCGATGCGGATATCAGCACCCGGGAATTAGGCCGCCACGTAGGACTATCGCATACCATAGTCCATAGAATCCTACGGGAACATTTGCTTTATCCCTACCATGTACAACAAGTGCAGGCCTTGTTACCAGAAGACTATCCTCGCAGACTAACATTCTGTCAGTGGTCTTTGCACAAAAACATTGAAAATCCGGATTTTTTTTAATAAAAATTCTAGCGACGGAAGAATGTACTTTTACGCGAGACGGGGATATTAAATTTCCATAATACTCACACGTGGGGCCAAGAAAATCCTCATACCTTTCGTGAAGGTCATTTCCAATAACGTTTTAAAATAAATATTTGGGCGGATATTCTTGACGATTAGGTAATTGGCCCTTTCGAGTTACCCCCAAAGTTGTCAGTAGAAGGATACCTTAGCTTCCTAGCCAATAACCTACCACAACTTTTGGTACAGACCTTAGACAACATGCCATTACAACGGAGACAGAATTTGTGCTTTCTTCATGACGGGGCACCACCACACATTTTCAGAGGCGTCATTCAGTATTTGAATGAACATTATCCAAATCGCTGGATCGGTCGAAATACTCCTGATCCTCGAAAATGGCCAGCAAGATCTCCTGACCCTAATCCGATGGATTTCTGGTATTGGAGAGAACTTAAAGGGATAGTTTATGGGGCTGGTCCAATAACAACTGAAGCACAACTTCGTGAAAAAATTTTAATGCGGCTGAAATAATAAATGGACAACTTCGAGAACTTAGAGTAAGATGAAACTGGATTCGTCGTAATGAAGCTTGTGTGGAAAGTGGAGGACGACCTTCTTTGAATACAAAAAAGTGCAGTGTGCGTTTTAAAAAGAAAAACAATGTATGTATCAAAATTATGTTCCCTATTTATAAGTTTTTAATACGTTCAATAAACTTTCACACACCAGGTGAATCGCTGAGACAGTTAGTGGTAAGTCCGTTTTTTTAAATGTTTGCATTTTACGAGTACATTATCAAATAATGAAATAATACCTAAGAGCAAAAAATAACAAACTCGATGTTTATTTACACTGCGTTCCGTCGTAATTTGCGCCTGGCATTGCGGCGTTATCAGATTTTATTTTACTTTAAAGTCGCCGATTTGACCCCATGTTATATGAAACTTTCTGCCTCTTTCAACCCCCTCTATCACCCATTTAAATGATGATTATCATAACGTTTACACCCTGTAGTTTTGGTTCGCCCGCCCTAGATCGCCAACTATGGACAGATGTTTCGTGCTATTTGGCGACTCCTCAGCATAGACTAGGCTCAGTCTCAAGTATGACAACGAACGAAAGCTGAGCAACTGTCCTCTATCCAGAGTATAAGATTTAGCGAAATAAGACAGCAGATGAGAAAACATACAGCTATTGCAAGTGTAGAACATAATAGAAATAAAGGCGATCACGGTTGCATCTGACGATCGTCACAACTTTCACTTTTCTCGAAATTCTTCCATATTTCTCTAATGCTGTTTTTTTCTCAGAATGTTGCAACAGTGTTGTAAGGCTGGAACTGAAAGGCCTCGACAACTCGGTCCGCGTCCGACAAATCAGAGTGCTGGGAAACATCGAGGGTGAATCCCTCAAAGTGGGCAAACAGCACACCGCGAGTACTTTGCAAAGGAAGAACTGCGAAGCGGAGACGCTGAGAGTTTTCCGACTGATTACGTCACAGGTGTTCGGAAAACTGTTGCAGGGGGAGGATGGACAAACGACGAGTCAAGAGATGGGCACTATGTCACTGAGTGATAACGGTGACCCTAATGAGGAAAGCATCGATCTAAGAGAGCATATGGTTGGGATACTATTCAGTAGGAGCAAGTTAACTCATCTACAGAAGCAGGTTAGAAAGTCACAAAACCATTGTGTATGACAGAAAAAGTTTCATTTTCAAAAATCATCTGATGCAATTTGTCAGAAAATAATTGCAACTATTTTTCAAGTCTACAAGTATTCTTCGATTGTAACAGGAGTTTTTTGATAAATGTGTCCTTAAAAAGCAAAGTTTTTTATTTGAAAGATTCTTTGACTAAATCCCATCAACCAGTGTCCAAAACTCGATGGAAACATGTTTCTGTTTATTGGCAAACAAAAATATTCAATGTATAGAATATACAGGGTGTCCCAGAAGTCGACGTCAAGCCGAAACCGGGTGATAGGCAAAGTCATAACAGCTATCAGAAAAATATTTAAAAAATTTTATGTATGTGTTTTGAAAATTATAGGTCTTTGAAAAAAATATAGAAATTTCACACCCTACGGCAGTCTGTCAACTCCTGTTACTACAAATATTAACTTTTTTTGGATTTTATTTTTACAATGTAATGATGAATAATGTATCTTCAAACTGGTATCTCAACCTTACTGCCAACTTTTCTCGTTCAGGAAAAATTGCCACTTATTTCCCAACCAGGTATTCCAAAGTAAAACTTTGCTCAACTTTAACTGGCTGTACTGAAAAAAAATGTACTACGAGAGTTTGGCAAGTAACCTTAAAAGTTGGCGCATTTAATAAGGATTCCAAAATGGTATAACACTTAGAAGATTACTCGTTAACTTATGCACAAGTTTTATTTGAAAAAAAACTGATGAAAATTTTTCAAAATTTCCTAATTAAACAGCGATTATGAAAACGCACAAGGACCCTTAAGGATAACTGTTTGCACAACACTGGGCATCAAAATGCTGCTGATGATGATTTACCTTTACAGCAAATGCTCAAACTGTTTTCCTTCAGCCGCAATACACGCTCGACATCTTCTTAAAAAAGATCGGGTTATTAAACGAGCGAATCCACGGTTATTAACAAACTCAGCCGCTTCCAATAGTCTTTGCCGTAGCTCAGCTACATTTTGAATCGGCTTGAAATACACTTTTTCTTTTACAGTTCCCCAGTAAAAAAAATCTAAAGGATTCAAATCAGGTGATCGGGCTGGCCACGGTATTGTACCAGAAGACCGCCTTATCCATCTCTGCTTGGAAAGTTTTGATCGAGATACTCTCTCACTGAGAGTGCATAGTGCGCTTGGCCGCCATCATGCTGAAACCACATGTCCCTGTAAATACTCAGTGGCACGTCCACCAATAAATTTTGTACATGATTTTTCAAAAAATCCAAATAAACTTCAGCAGTCAAAGTCTCTGGGAACTCAAACGGACCGATTATTTTACCATTTAAAATTCCTGCCCAATGGTTTATCTTGAAGCGATATTGAAATTTATCTTCTCTCATCAAATCTGGGTTTGCTACGTGCCACTCGTGTAAGATATGCAGGTTCATGTACCCATCTTTCTTAAATGTGGTCTCATCCGACCATAAATTTTTTTCAAAGAACTGTGGATCTTTCCTGTGTCTTTCTAACATTGTGCGACAAAAAGCAACTCGGGGCTCATAATCCCGGGGCAGGAGAGGTTGAACACGCTGTATGTGGTATGGATGAGAAAATTTATTGGAGGACGTGCTACTGAGTATTTACAGGGACATGTGGTTTCAGCATGATGGCTGCCCAGCGCACTATGCACTCTCAGTGAGAGAGTATCTCGATCAAAACTTTCCAGGCAGATGGATAGGGCGGACTGGTACAATACCGTGGCCAGCCCGGTCACCAAATTTTAATCCGTTAGATTTTTTTTACTGGGGAACTGTAAAAGAAAAAGTGTATTTCAAGCCGATTCAAAATGTAGCTGAGCTACGGCAAAGACTATTGGAAGCAGCTGAGTTTGTTAATAACCGTGGATTCGCTCGTTTAATAACCCGATCTTTTTTAAGAAGATGTCGAGCGTGTATTGCGGCTGAAGGAAAACAGTTATCCTTAAGGGTCCTTGTGCGTTTTCATGATCGCTGTTTAATTAGGAAATTTTGAAAAATTTTCATCAGTTTTTCTTCAAATAAAAATTGTGCATAAGTTAACGAGTAATCTTCTAAGTGTTATACCATTTTGGAATCGTTATTAAATGCGCCAACTTTTAAGGTTACTTGCCAAACTCTCGTAGTACATTTTTTTTCCAGTACAGCCAGTTAAACTTGAGCAAAGTTTTACTTTGGAATACTTGGTTGGGAAATAAGTGGCAATTTTTCCTGAACGAGAAAAGTTGGCAGTAAGGTTGAGACCCCAGTTTGAAGATGCATTATTCATCATTACATTGTAAAAATAAAATCCAAAAAAAGTTAATATTTGTAGTAACAGGAGTTGACAGACTGCCGTAGGGTGTGAAATTTCTATATTTTTTTCAAAGACCTATAATTTTCAAAACACATACATAAAATTTTTTTAACTATTTTTCTGATAGCTGTTATGACTTTGCCTATCACCCGGTTTCGGCTTGACGTCGACTTCTGGGTCACCCTATATATGGAAGCAACCTCAGACTTGCCGACACTGGTATAGTCTCAAATGCCCTTCTGAAGTATCAAAATACTGTTGCAATACATTCTTCTTCACCTATATTTCTTCTTCAGTCTTTAAAGAACATCTATATCAACTTCTTGTAACTACTCTAGTCAAGTTGAATTGAAATTTGTTATGCTTAATCGTTGAATTTGCAACTTTTACATGCTTACTTTAAAACTGTGAAACCATGTGGTGTAAAAATATTTCAGTATTTTTGTTGCGATGTACAGTGAAATACATACTGAATGTTTAGGTGATCGTGCACGTAGTGCAGGCCATACGCCGAGAAACAGAGCGAGTACACGACGAATGGGAAGCCAGTTTGTCTACTTCTTCAGGCTACTCTGCGAGCAGTCCAGACGGAGCCAAGAATTCTGATACGTACTGTTTTGAGATGCTCTCCATGGTGCTAGCGTTATCCGGTAGTTCTATGGGAAGAGCCTATCTTTCACACCAGTGCGGTCTTTTGGCCGATTTGCTTACACTGTTACATACCGGAAGCGCCAGGGTACAGAGGCAGGTAGGTGAGATGAGCTTTTGCTGTATATTCACTCTACAAAAATTCTGCTCTTCAGGTCACTTCCTTGTTGAGAAGAATACTTCCAGAAATCAGTCCAGAAATATTTTGTAAGGTTCTTGGAATACGGAAGCTTCCTGCGAGGGACTTTAGCATTGTTTCTGCTCCTAGCAAAGATTCGTCTGGACATTTCGATGTCGATCAGTAAGTACTTTTTTGTACAGGGTTGTCCAATAGGGACGCAGGAAAGTAAACGTCAATTTGACATAGACGCCATCTTTGTTTTCTGTCACCGACATGTCATTTTGTTAGTTGAATGTTTACCATTGATCGCTATGGAGTCGTATTCGATTGAAGACCGCATTAAAGTTGTTCAAGAGCACTACAAGAATGGTGCAAAAATAAAAAACACGTTTCGCGCGCTTCGTGAACATTTCGGTCGCAACAACCGCCCAAACGAAACAACCATCGGTCGTCTGGTGCGTAAATTCGAGGCAACAGGTTCTGTGGCAAATCTGCCAGGCTCTGGCCGGCCAAGGAGCGTTCGCACACCGGAAAATATTGCTGTTTTGAAGGAGAGTGTGAGAGACGATCCGAAACAATCAACAACGCGTAGATCCCAAGAATTGGGCATTTCGAGAACCAGTTTGCTACGCATTCTCCACAAGAATTTGAATGTACACGCCTACAAGATCCAATTGACGCAAGAGCTGCGTCGGGCCGACCATTTTTCGCGCCGAACGTTCTCAGATTGGCTCCTTGAACACCCCCAAACTGATGCCAATTTTTCATCAAAAATCATGTTCAGCGACGAAGCGCATTTCACTTTGAATGGGACGGTAAACAAGCAAAACTGCCGCATCTGGGCTTACGAAAATCCCCGTGAGTATCAAGAGCAGCCGATGCATCCTCAAAAAGTGACTGTGTGGTGTGCATTGTGGTCAAAAGGCATCATCGGACCTTACTTTTTCGAAAATGCGGCCGGGGACGCAGTTACCGTCAATTCTGAGCGATATCACGTGATGATAGAGGACTATTTTTTGCCGCAACTTGAAGGAATGGATATGGACGATGTTTATTTCCAACAAGACGGTGCAACATGCCACACAACCAACGTCAATATCCATCGATTGCAGTCCTTCTTCGGCGATCGCGTGATTTCGCGCAGAGGAAATGTGCCATGGCCACCAAAATCGTGCGATTTGACTCCCTTGGACTTCTTTTTATGGGGATTTTTGAAAAGCAAACTCTACGTCGACAAACCAGCCACCCTCCAAGAACTCAAAAACAACATCATTGCCGAGATAAATGCCGTAGAACCGACCATGTTGCAAAATGTCATTGAAAATTTCGACCATCGCGTGGACGTCTGTAAATCCAGTCGTGGTGAACATTTGAGCGATATTATTTTTTATACATAAATGGTATAAATGAACCTTCAAAATAAAGTACCCAACTTGATTTGAATATCAATCTTTCTTGTTGTAATATGCGTTTACTTTCCTGCGTCCATATATAAAAACTGCATCACATTTCACTTTGCCATAGTCACTAATTTCCATCGGTCTAACTGTTTGTGCGAGAATGAAAATTGGAAGTATCGCCCGTATTTTGATGAAATTTTTACATAAGGATAAGAAGTTTGTTGCTGTTTTGTAGTGGTGACGAAGATATGAAGAAAAACGAAAAATCTCAAAAACTTTGTTTTTTGGTCTTTTTCGACTTCCTGGCGAGTTCACGTTGCACAAAAAAATCCTTTTGGAGATGTCAATATACAAAAGTGTCCAGCGGGAAAGTTCACATTTCAAATTTGAATTACGCGACAACCGTATACGCGAGGAAGTAGGGGAGGTTTTGATCGACGCGTTCGGCGTGCGGGTTAAATAGTCACAATGGAACGTTGGACCGGAGCGCAACGTGCTTTTGATATCGAGGCTTACTTCAAGAGCGGACATTTTGTACACGATACAATATTCGCCGACCTAGAGATGCCCCAAGTAGGAACCTATTGAAAAAGTGGATTAAGAGGTTCCGTAAAACAGGCTCTACTCTTAGTCAACACATTCCTGGCTCGACACCGAAAAAAATGTGCGTCGAATAAGTGAGGAAGCATTCCCCTGCTTTGGGAATCCCTAGGTCAACACTGCATGGTATAATGAAGAAAAAAATGGGTAACCATCCTTACAAAATCCAATCAGTCCATGCTTTGAAGGAATGTGATTACATATTACGGAAATCTTGTGCTGAACGGATGTTGAATCTTTTTCCTAAGCAGCGCAGACTCGAGAACGTTGTTTTCGGTGACGAGGGCCATTTTCACTTAGTCGGTTATGTGAACAAGCAAAATTGCAGATATTGGGCACCAACGAACCTAAAAGAGAGATATCAACAACAGCTAGATAGTCTAAAGGTGCGCTATATTCTCTAGTGGTATTATTGAGCCGTATTTCTTTGAAGATGAAAACGGTCATGCAATGACAGTCAATTCGGAGCGATACAAGGACATGATTGACACTTTTTTTGTTCCTATTCTAAGAACAGAACGTCGATTTAACAAAAACACATGGTTTCAACAGGATGGGGCCACTGCCCATACTTCCAGAGATGGACACGGTGAAAGCACTTTTTCCTCAAAAAGTTGTATCGAGACATTCGCTGGCCTCCTAGGTCACCCGACCTCATGCCATGCGATTATTTGAGAAATAAAACCCGCCGAATTTACGAATATGTTCATAGTAATAAATATTTTCTTTTCATCAAGTTTGTATTTTTTTTATTTTAATCAAAAAGTGATCTTTCCACTGCACATATTATTTAACATTTCCAAAACTTTGTTTCCATTATCATTTTTTTATTTTCTAATCACTTCAAGATTCTTTCATATTTATCTTATTAGTAATAACATGTAGATTATACAGGGTGGCGCATCGAACACGAAACAGACGCATTTACTGGCAGCTGTTTTTTTTTTGGAAAAACGCGCAGACTCGTCGATTTTGTTTTCGAGGGGGACACAAGTTTGGCAAAAAATCACGTTAACACGTGCAGCCCCCTGGGCGGCGGTGACACCAACCCTAAAATCTTAAATGGAAAGGGGGGTCGAGTGATACCTTATTTTAAAGGTCTTTCAATTCCCTTTATAATGATGTAAAATACATGAGCTTCAGTTCAGTTGTTTTGAAGATTTATTGATTTAAAGTTTAAAGTAGACTTTAATAGGTACATTAGTTTGTACTACTTTCAGAAGAAATTTGACCAAAAGAATTTATTTAATAAGTAAATGCTTTTCTTCACTACGCTCATGGTTTGTTTATCATTTTGTTGTTGAAAATAGCTATTGGAGCGTTTTTCTGTGGCAAAAAGTTATTTCTTGAAGAAAGATAAGGAAATGTCTCGTACTTATTTTAAATAGGAATTTAGTACATAGTTTGCGATTGATTTGACAAAACTTTGTTGCTAAAATAACTTGTAACGCTTTATTACATAAATTAACCATAGTATATTCCACAGCAGAAAGAGTTGAAATTATCGAAATATTTTTCGGAAATAATCAGTGCGCTAATAGAACAGCAGAAATATTTAATGAGCGACATGACATCGAAAATATGTTCTAGAACTTGTAGCTAAATTTCGGGAAACTGGGTCAGTCGCCAATAAAAAACGCAACATTGAAAATCCCATAAGGAAAGAAGCAATAGAAGTGGGGGTTTTAGGGCAAGTTTATGTAGATCCTATGTTAAGTACCCGCAAATTGGAGACTGTGTGTGGTGTTAGTCGACGTACTGTCCAACGGATTATAAAGGCCCATAGTTTTCATCCGTATAAAATTCACCTGGTACAAGAACTTAATGAAGACGATTTTGATCGGCGATTACAATTTTGTGAAGATAGTGAACGAATTATAAACGATGAACATTTTCTTTTCAACACTTGCTTTTCCGAAGAATGTTCTTTTTTCTTAAATGGCGTAGTAAATCGTCATAACGGCCGATATTGGTCCGATTATAATCCCAGAATTTATCATGTGGTTCATACACAGTAGCCACAAAAATTAAATGTTTGGGCTGGTACTTTTGGCGAACATTTAGTTGGTCCTTTTTTCTTACCTGGAAATTTGACCGGCGAAATGTATTTGGAATTACTGGAAGACGCCATAGATCCTGCATTAACAGCCATAATTGAAAATCAGAATGATCGGCGGTACATTGCGAAAAGGTTGATGTTCCAACAGGATGGTGCCCCACTACATTACCACATTACGTGTTCGATAATATTTAGATCAGAAGTTTCCAGATCGATGGATTGGTAGAAGAGGTGCCATTGAATGGCCCCCAAAATCGCCAGATTTATCACCTTTGGATTTATTTATGTGGGGTCATTTAAAAAGCAAAATCTATGCTACTCAGCCAACATCATTAGAAGACCTGCGAGAAAGAATTATGAATGAGTGCCTTCAAATTACTCCTCAAATATTGCAAAATGTCCTTCAACGTTTTGAGCAAAATCTTTATTATTGCATGGAGAGTCATGGTGGTCATTTTCAACATTTACTTGCCAAACGGGTCAGTTCATTCTTCATTTTTAAATTACTTTGCTGCGAAATGTATTGATCTCCACTAATGATGATGTATTAGTTTTATTTAATAATAATAATAATAATAATAAACGTCTTTATTAAATAATATATACAATACATGTATATATATATATATATATATATATATATATATATAAAGTGTAACTATAGTGGCGAAGTTTAGCAATATGCTACTCTAACACTCAACCACTAAAGTTAAATATTACGTTGTTAACAGCTAACAAAAAAAAAATGCAAAATATATAAAACAAATCACTTATAACCCATATGAGAAGTGGAAAATGAGATATTTTGTGTGGACATACTGCTACTCTAAAAAGGTCTATGAATATTGAGGGAAAAGTTAATCGTTCAAATAACTCAACTTAACATTGTAGCGGAAACATGGTAAACTCATCGTCTTAAATTTACTGTCCAAAGAATTATATATTGCTGCAACGTTATATGAGAAACTTCGTTGGAACAGAGATGTTGTATGCTTCGGAATTCTGATAACGTGCCTGTCTCTAATAGCTCTATTGTGAATGGTATTATTAAAAATAATTTTTTCACATAGGTATTCTGGCTTAGAATTAATTAAAATTTTATGGATAAATGTGGAAAAATGTAACTTGACCAACTGGTCAAACTTTAGCCATCTCAACTCTGCATATTTGTGAGAGACATGGTCGAACTTTCTCATGCCGAATATAAAGCGAACACAGCTGTTTTGAGTCAATTGGATTCTGTGTTTAGTGATCTGATCGAAACAGGGAAAATATAGAATACTGCAGTAGTTCAAGACAGACACAACGAAGGTTTCGCAAAGTTTTTTCCTCATTTTGAAGTTTAGCAGATATCTGTTTGAATAAAGACTGCGTAAACGTGCATAGGTGTTTTGTGTCAGATTTTTTACATGCTCGGTAAATCTTAATTTTGTATCAATTTCTACACCCAATATTTTTGCGCTATTAAAAAATTTGATTACAACCTCATCACAACCAACAGAACGTAGCTTAGCACATAAAAGTTTATGATCTATCTTATCGAAGGCTTTAGAGTAGTCGACTGATATTAAAGCTAAACCCATTTTTTTGTCCAGAACAGGAAATATGTTGTCGCATATGTTTATTAAAGCCGATGTTGTATTATAATGTTTTCTAAAACCCGATTGATTAGGTGGGATTATCTGATGTGCTTCAATGTATGATGTAAGTTGAAGTTGTACAATCTTTTCAAGGATTTTTGACAAAATAGCTAGTAAACTGATTGGTCGAAGATCTGATAGCAGACCGGGTTTCAAAGTTTTTCCTATAGGTATTATCAGTGCTTGCTTCCAAATTTTAGGGAAGTAACCGGTTTCAAGACATAGATTGATAATGTGAACTAAGTGGAAAAATATAACGGGTAGGCTTACCTTTACCATAGTTAGCGTAAGACCATCTATTCCTTTGGCATCTGATTTAAGAGATTTAATAGTTTGTAGAATTTCTGAATGATCAATAATTCTGAATGAAAAAGAATCAGGTGGAAAGAAGTGACGATTTTTGTATAGGTGACATAATTCTTCCGAGGCATTATTTGTACTGTAAACTGACATAAAATAGTCATTGATTTCATTTGGATCAGACAGATTATCTGGAAGAGGGGTTTTTGTCCGAGAATGTATATTAAGCTGCTTTAAGCCAATCCATAACATTTAAGCTTTAAATCAATAAATCTTCAAAACTACTGAACTGAAGTACATTAATTTTATATCATTATAAAGGGAATTGAAAGACCTTTAAAATAAGGTATCACTCGACCCCCCTTTCCATTTAAGATTTTAGGGTTGGTGTCACCCCCGCTTAGGGGGCTGCACGTGTTAACGTGATTTTTTGCCAAACTTGTGTCCCCATCGAAAACAAAATCGACGGATCTGAGCGTTTTTCCAAAAAGAAAACTGAGCTGCCAGTAAATGCGTCTGTTTCGTTTTCGATGCGCCACCCTATATGTATATAGTTAAAACTTTAAATATATTTATCTGAATACAAGTAAAGTACTGAGTTAATCTGTTTAACTTCATACTTGATTTGTAGATGTATACATCAAAAAAATTACTTATTTTATTGTTCCATTTTTGGCCCCTTTATTTACTCAGTCATTTTCAGGGTGGGCGTGCTAGACGTCTTCCTGAGCGTCATAGCGAAATCCCTGACCCTTCAAGTTAAGGTACGCAGTAAATCTTGTGGCAGCGGAGCAGCGAGCAAAGAGATCAACACTGTCACTCTGGCAACGTCAATGCAGCCCAAAGATATAGCGAATGCTAGATGGTGGATGAGAGGTCATGTCAGCAAGAAGCTCGCTGAGGTTATCGTCAATCTTATTAAAGATATGACAGCGGTAAGTGTAAAAAATGCTATTTTGATTACTGAACGGCGAGAGGTCGGAAGGTATCTATGGGCTCCCACAGGGACCCGTGTCGGGCCCGCTTCTATGGAACTTTTTTATGATGGAGTTTTAACGCTAAAGAAACAATTTAACAATGGTTTTTATAAGCGAACAGAAGGGTACGTTTTTGGAAATGCTTTTGGAATATGAATATTAATGATGAAAAAATTGAAGTCATTTAAATATCCTGGTATACAGGGTGTTTCAGTTTATTGTTGCATAACTTTAATATTCGATAGAACTTTTAAAATTAATGCATAAAGTCTGTATAAACATGGGTCGAAAAATGCGTGGCTTCCGAAATACAGGGTGTTTAAATTTACTTTATAAAATAGTTTTTTTTAATATTTCGAACTATATTTGATGTATAACAGTGAAAATTGGTATACAAGGTTTTTTGGTACGACAAAACGAACCATGGACATAGTTTTACTGTAGCCGCTAGAGGGCGCTCTCTACTGTACCTGTAGTGTATTAAAATGACCGAAAAATTTTTCTTAGTGCAGTTTTTTGCTTTTTGAATAAAAAAACTGATTCTTCGCACTTTTCAACATAAAAAAAGCTCTCCTATGAGTTTTCTTTATAGTTAGCCGTTTTTGAGATATTTCGATTTTTAAGGTTCGATGCATTTTTAATTATTTATGGGAAAATAATATTTTTTTTACATTTTCGGTTTGGGCATTACAAGTAATTAAGATGATCGTTTAGATTGTGTTTTTAAAAAAAACAGAATATTAATTTGTTCAATTTTCCAATATTATTTTTAACAAATTAATTGAATATTGGATGCTATTGGATAGTTAGGACAAACATACAAAATCTAAAGTAGTTGCTCGAAATGTAAACACAATTGTTCAATACACAATTCACATCTAGGAATGATCGTACGTGGTATAGCATTATTCAAATAAGGCCTTATTTCATCACATGCATTCCTGATTCTGTCTATTGGCATATCTCTTGTGGTTACGGCAGTCTGGTACACTTTTTCCTTTAGAAATCCCCACACAAAGAAATCTAATGGATTTAGGTCAGGGGATCGTGGAGGCCAGGCGACTGGCCCTCCACGGCTGATTCATCTTTCTGGGTAATTTTCGTCCAGCCAGTTTCTAACTATTCTCGAATAATGAGCTGGACAACCATCAAGCTGAAACCAGGCCAATCTTCTTAAATCTAACATAACATCATCCCACATATTTGCATGTTCAGCCTTTAAAAATTCCAAGAAGGTCGCAGCATTTAACCTTGCAGGCAAAAGGTAGGGTCCAAATAGTCGATTACGGTAGATACCAATCCACACGTTCACACTAAATTCATGCTGAAAATTTCTTTCCAGAACTGCATGCGGATTTTCATGCGACCAAATATGTTGATTATGAAAATTTACCACTCCACGTCTAGTTAAGCATGACTCATCGGTCCATAAAACGTTACTTAAAAACTCCCTATTATTATCAGTTCTATCAAGAATCCACTGACAAAATGTGATTCTTCGTTCTCCGTTCCCTGGCTGCAGTCCTTGCGCAGGTTGCAATTTTCAATTATTTGGCGATGCATTCTTACAAATACTGAGCGAGTTGGATGTCGTCTGTTTGGAAATCTTCGTGCGTATTCTCTGGCTGCTTCTGCTGCGTTTCCATTTACAAAGCCATACACAAAATGAATATCCGCTAACTCTTGATCGGAGAATAAAAATGGCATTTTTATAAAACAGGTAAAAGAAACTAAATTTCGTGCATTCACAATTGCAAAAAAACGTTTCAGGTTTCAACAGACAACAAAACTAACTGTCAACTAATGGACGTTTAACCTTATTCTGCTTTCAATTTCCAAAATATTTGCAGGCACAGCTTACTTCTAAAAATTATCGAGATACTGACTTTTTAACGTTATTTTATCATAAATAATTAAAAATGCATCGAACCTTAAAAATCGAAATATCTCAAAAACGGCTAACTATAACGAACATTCACAAGAGAGCTTTTTTATGTTGAAAAGTGCGAGGAATCAGTTTTTTTATTCAAACAGCAAAAAATTGCACTAAGAAAAATTTTTCGGTCATTTTAATACACTACAGGTACAGTAGAGAGCGCCATCTAGCGGCTACAGTAAAACTATGCCCATGGTTCGTTTTTTCGTACCAAAAAACCCTTGTATACTAATTTTCACTGTTATACATCAAATATTGTTCGAAATATTAAAAAAAAACTATTTTAGAACGTAAATTTAAACACCCTGTATTTCGGAAGCCACGCATTTTTCGACCAATGTTTATATAGATTTTATGCATTAATTTTAAAAGTTCTATCGAATCTTAAAGTTATGCTACAATAAACTGAAACACCCTGTATATGTGGATAGTAAGCTACTCTTTCACGAATATTATGAATACATTATTTCAAAAATTTCGAAAAAGATAAATCACTTCTATTGTGTTCATTATACAGGGTGCGGCAGAGAGGATGGACGGTTTTAAAAAAATCATAAAATAGTTAATTTTTACTCGAAAACAAATTTATTGATGGAATCAGGTTCACAAGGAAATAGCATTTGAGAGAGAGTGAATGAGTGAGTGAGTGAGTGAGAGTGACAGAGTGTGAGAGTGAGAGAGAGAGAGAGAACTTCACGATACTTTAGAAGGCCCCTATTAATGTCAAGCTGCTTAATTAAAGCATTACTGCGTGGGATATCAAGCTATAGAGTGGTTTTGACAGAAGAACTCTTGGTGGTGGTTAGCTTTCTAAAGATCGATGTTGTAGATAGGAGAATGTGATTTAAGTATAGCCTAAATTATATTTTTTTCAGGGAAAGTTATCGGAAGCGTGGGCTAACGTAACTAAGAGCGCAATAGCGGAGAATATACTGAATCTAACCTATCTCTCTGAAGAACAGAAACTGCCGTCAAACTGTCTTAGAACTCCGACTTTATGGCTAGCTCTGGCTTCGCTGTGCGTCTTGAACGAGGAGCACGTTGAAAGGCTGTCATCAGGTACGTCACTATACTTATTGTCACTCACATTACGCTATACTGATTAATGTTAACGTTACTTGACTCGAAGTCATGGTCTTGAACGAGTAAAATTTTTATTTACCCCCGATACAATTCACAATTCAAAAATGTGTACGCTCAAAATAACACCATTATTCTAAACTAACATGCATCTTAATTCAAGGAACTGGTGTAATATATTGACAACACGGTGATGAGCTTCGCTATCCAGCCGGCTTCTGTCTCTTTCTAACATATGTGTTTATACACACTTCTATCTCGTACACATTGAACTCAAGGCCGTCAGACAAATTTGGTTCTCATTGTATGTCCGTGGACCAAAAAGAATCGTCTGACAATATTATTCTAACGAATAATCGTTAGTTTTTTTTTCATGATTTTGTATCACCGTAGGTCAGTGGAAGCAGGCGGAAGGTCAACCTGTCCCTCCAAGGCCCACTTGCGGCAATCACGATGATGGCGAAACTATCGCAGTGATACAGTGCACACATTGCGGTAATTTATGTGCAGATTGCGATAGATATCTACATCTGCATCGAAAAGCTAGAAATCATCAAAGACAGGTTTGTAAGAGTTTGTCAACTGCTTGTAACAAAGCAGGTGTTTTTTGAGTTAACCACACAGAACCGCTAGCTCTCAAAGTCAGCTACTCCTGTTTCCTCAAGTTGTGGTTCACACTATACCTATACCAAATTCCTATGACATTTTTCAGATACTTGTAGCCCAACTAACAATTATCACTCCTATTAGAGTTGCAAAAATGATTATACAGTATTCCTTACACAGCATTGTATACTGTAAGAACATTGGCAAAACCCTCTTAGAACAGCTATACAAGCAGAATGGGCACACCTAATAGGTCACTTCAGTCATTTAAGAAATTGTATAAGGGCTATAGGTAACATTTATACGACAAAAGTGTAAGCCCCTTGCAGCCGCTGTAGGACATTTGCGTAAGTGCAAGATTCAGTTTTTGTCAACTATACAACTGTTCTGTTACGTGATTCTACTTTATTGCAACCAAACTATTTCTTATGTATTGCATAGACGAAGTGAAGAATATATAACTAACACATTACAGTCATCTTGTTTACTTACGGGCTTCTTATTTCATGCATATTTTGATAATGATCAAAAGTATGTCTAGATTTTTAAGATGGAAAACTGAACGTATCTGCGTTAAAACTTCCACAAATCCTATATTTAGACACAATTACACTAATGTTTATCACTTTAATTTCGAACTGAAACATAATTATTTAATATCAAATAGAGGAATAAAGCATCCCACAAACCGGCGCGAAATAATCGCGGCGAAGTATTCGCAACGAAATTCAGAGCGAAATTCGCAATCTGTTTCGCCTGTTTATTCATACCAAAGCGTCTTATTCGCTCCGCGAACGTGAAGGTTTCGACAGGTTGCGTACATTTTATTTTTGCCTTTTGCAATGAGCTCGTCTTCAGAAGAAGAGGAGGCACTTCTATTTCTTGCTTTAGAAGAGGAACAAAATGCACGGTAAGTTATGTTTATTTAACGCCATTTGATAGTTGGGTATGTATTAAGTTTAACGAAGTACATAAAACAAATATTTTCAATTTTGTTTAGGAAACGAAGGAAGTGGGTACATGATATTAACTTGGAACGAAATAAATTTGGGGAATACCATACCTTGATGCCACAACTTCGGCTGGATGAACAGCGCTTTTACGTATATTTTAGAATGACTCCAGAGTGTTTCGATGAAATATTGAACTTGGTGAAAGATGAAATACGAAAATCTGACACAAATTATCGTGAAGCTATTTCGCCAGAAGAACGACTTGCTATTACACTCAGGTAAAAAAGTTATATGTATTAAAATTAGTAGGCTTATCGAATACGAAAACTTCAGGGATCATGAAATAAATATTTTATTGTAATAATTGGACTACATGTTGCCACTAGGATTAAATGTTGCTAAATAATTCGAGGCAGAATTTGCCTCCTCTGTTGGGTATATTATTGGAGTAAACCCAGTGCCGTTTGGGAAGGACGACATACTACTATCATACATACTTGCAGAATTCTGGGTAGACGCTGAAGACACTTCTTCAATATGTTCAAATTCTTCGTGCGCTATTAATTCGGCTATTTTTAGTTTTATTCGGGCTTGACGCTTTAAGGGAAGTGTTTTCACAGTCTGTGCATGTGCCAAGAAAAGTGAATCAATGGCCTCGTTCTCTTTTTAGGTTTTTTACCTTCAAAATAATTAATGAGCTGTTGTACAGACGAAGATGGTGGTTCATAGCGTTTTCTGCTCGTTTTATATTTTGGTGTAGTTGCAGTCTGCGGAAAGGTGTGCCTTGGAGTAGTCACTGCTGTAGTGTTCAATGAAGAAGGTGGTGCTGTCTGTGTTGCCGAGGCGTTCTGTGCATCTTCTGCATCTACATCAGCATTTTCATCTTCTCCATCTTCCAGCCCTTTCCTGATATATATTTGAGTTCAATTCGGCAGTCTCATAATGTATGACGTCAATATCTTTCACATTAGACGACGTTTTGGCAAATGCCAAAAAAGGACGGAAAAATTCCATGTAGTCAGCCCACTGCCATTTCTTTTTTGTTGCCCACTGCTTGGCCGGTCTTTGGTTTGGTAGATTTTATATATTTTGCTAATGTGTCTCTGATATTCTTACACCTTTTTTTTACTTCATCACCTAAAAACGATTTTTTTTATAGATTCCTTGTCACTGGTGACACCTTCTATACCATTGGGCATAGCTTTCGAGTTGGCTTTACAACAGTGAGTGCAATCGTAACCGCAGTCTGTGAAGCGATATGCAGACATATGGAACATATATATTTACCAGAACCAACAGAGAATATATGGAAAAAATGTGCTGAAGAATTTGAAAATAGATGGGGATTTCCCAATTGCATTGGCAGCGTGGACGGTAAACATGTAACAATCAAGAGACCTAACAACAGTGGCTCCAATTACTGGTGCTGTTTACATAAATATTCAATAGTACTTATGGCCATTGTTGGCCCGGACTATAAATTTATATGTGTTAATATTGGTGGTTTCGGAAAAAATACTGATGGGGGTATTTTCGAAACCTCAAACATGGGAAAACGATTTGAACAAAATTTAATGAGTGCATCCCTGCACCTAGATTTCTCCCTGGGCAAAATGAAATCTGCTCGTATGTCTTAATTGGTGATGAAGCATTTGCTTTAAAACCATACCTTATGAGACCATTTCCTTATAAGCAGACTTTAACAGACGTCAGAAAAGAGAAATACAATGTAAGACTTTGTCGAGCTAGAAGGGTCGTGGAAAATGCGTTTGGTATTTTGTCTCAAAAATGGCCATTAGAAACTAATGTAGATACTACTATTCTAATTGTACGTACGGCATGTGTTTTACACAATTTTTTACGAAGTAAAAGTGGCGATGACAAATATTTTCAATTCTTAGATCCCCCAAAACCCGTGCTTGGAGCTTTTACTGATATAGCAAATGATCCTCGGCGGGCAGCAAGGCTAGCATTTTCTACTCGTGACAAATTCGTAAATTATTTTAATTCTGATATGCCTATGCCCAATATATAGAATGTTCGTTTTCACATTTGTGTAGACTGTAAATTATTTAAGTTAATAAAAAATATTAGGTACATACCATTTGTATTTAATTCTTTTCCTATTTCCATCCAAATCTTGTCTTTCTTTCTCACATTCCTGTATTTATCGTTCGACAAATCATACAAACAAAGATACTTTTTCACTATTTCTATCAATAATTCCGTTTTTGCCATTGCGAATTTTTGAAGAACGGCGTCAAAAACGCGGTCAAAGGCGAACTGAAATACGCCGCGATAAAAACGCTGGAACAATCGCATTCGCTTCGCACAAGTCTGAGCCTGTCCGTAAACCGCCGCGTTTTAATCTGATCGCGAATTCATCGCCGCGAAATTTTCGCAGCCAAAGCGAATATTTCGCGCCGGTTTGTGGGATGCTTAAATGTTTGCCCAATATGGCTGGTGGTTGTGTATAATCATGGCATCGTCCATGTTGTCTTCAGTTTATTAGAATATTTTGGTGTTGTTTGCAGGTGTTATACAACAATTTGACAAATGTCTGAAATAAAATACCTCCAGAGTCCAATGATTTACCCAGAATTTGTACCAGACTATATCTTCTGTTTGAACAGTAGATAAAACCTTTTGAGCCAATATGCATGCGTTGTTTGTCTTAAAACATTGGTTATGGCATTTTAACAAAAATATGACCGCAGGAAAGTTAGGTTATGGTGAAGTTCTATACCAACATATTTAGCATATGTACAGCCTTTAACAGTTACTAAACAACAGTTGTATAAGTGCTTCCGTTGGGAGCAACTTGTTGGCTAAAGTAGTAATATGCCCAGCAAAACAACAAGACTCGGGTTTGTTTTATAAACGTTACCATGGATGCCACAACACACTGACTAACGTGCAAATATGCCGTATAAAATAGTTGTATAAACGTTTATGCAACAGTTAAAAATTTGTCCTATGAGGTGTTGTATAACTATGCTAAAGAATATTTTAAACACCTCATTTTAGAGCAAATATGTTGCAGAAAGCAAATTTGCATTCCACACGACATTAAGCCAGCATTTTGGTGTTCAGGCAATAACAATAGAGAGCTTTTATGGCTGAATGGTTCTTTTACCAAAAGCTTATAGCACTACTTTGCTAGTTGGGTATACCGTTAATTTTTTTAAACATGTTTTGTTAGGTATGCAAAGAGGAGGAGGAAGCCATAAAAGTGGAGCTACACGAAGGTTGTGGCAGAACGAAGCTGTTTTGGTTGTTGGCGCTGGCGGATCCTAGGACTTTGAAAGCGTTGATTGAGTTTAGAGAAGGAGGAACTCGTACGAAAGGAGTCGGGATGAGCGGCGTATGCAGGTTTTGTGGAACGACAGGCAACTCGGGACTTCTTGCCATAGGAAATGTTTGCGCAGACCACGAATGTCAGGTATGGAGGGGAAAATAACATATCAAATGTCACTTTGAAACCGTATATTATTAGCCTGCAGACGAGTCAAATTTTTCTTCAAAATTTCAAAATAAGATAAACATTTCGAAGTTATGTCACAGACGTTGATAGACAACTTCGAAGTACGTCTGGGAGGTTTATCCGGGAAATGCGTATAAAAGTAAAACTTCAATTCACTGTCTGGCCGAGAGGGACAAATTCCTGCTGAATAATGCCCCGAGAATCAAAGAAAACAGTCAAACATTGTTTTCAGATTGGACCTTGATTTTTTTGTTCTCGGTTCCCCTGCTTGCTTCCATTCCATGCTTTAAGATTTCAGCTCCACATCGAGTTCGTAAAAACAAGTGATGACGCGGTTGAGAAAGTCATCTCTTTCCTCTGCTTCCAACCAATCCTCACAGGAAGCAACCCTCCTTGAGTTCTGTTCTGGAGTCGAGAGATTTTCGCGCACAATTTTTTCATTTCAAGTGTTTCTGTCAGAATTTCGTGGACGATTGTTTTGGGGATTGACAGTTCATCGGCTATCATTCTAACTGTCAATCGACTCAGCCCCGAATTCGTCCAACATTTCCCTCAAAGCTCGATGTAGAGGGGCGTCCTGAGCGTTGGTCATCATCGTCTCCGCCTTCCCAAAACCTTTTCAACCACTTGTTGACGGTTGGTTCCTTCAGAGAATTGTCGCCGTAAACTTGTTTCAAACACTCAAAAATGTCACGAGCATTTTTGCCTAGCTTTGCAAGAAACTTGATGCTGATGCGCTGTTCCTCGATCAGAGAGAGCTCCTTGCTCCAGGTAAAAAAAAGAGGTTACTTTCAACAATCTTACTGACTCGCAGAGCGCTCCGGCTTGAACTGAGCGTAGAGGGGATTGCATAGAGAGAGGAAACCACTAGGCCACGCCTCCACGATGCCTTGACATGACGCGCCGAATTTTTTATTTACGTATTTCCCGGTCAAACCTCGTATATCATGTTTCAACTTTTTCTCTAGAATTTTCGTTCATTCCACTCAGGACTTCCACAATTATACATAAAAATAAATTAGTTGATATTTTTTTTTGAAAACTGTCACCTTTTATCGTATATTTGACGCTGTTGAGCATGTATATCTACAGGGTGTAAACGTTATGATAGTCATTATTTAAATGGGTAAATAAAGATGGAGTTTGTAATGTTTGGCTCTTAGGTATTATTTCATTATTTGATAATGTACTCGTAAAATGCAAACAATTAAAAAAAACGCTCACCTGATATGTGACAGTTTATTGAACGTATTAAAAAAATTCACTTATAAATAGGGAATTTTGATACATACATTGTTTTTCTTTTTAAAACCCACACTGCACTTTCTTTGTATTTAAAGAAGCTGTTCAAAATGTCGTCCTCCACTTTCCACATAAGCTTCATTACGACGAATCCAGTTTCTTCTTACTCTAGGTCCTCGAAGTTGTCCATTTATTTATTCAGCCGCATTAAATTTTTTTTCGCGAAGTTGTGCTTCAGTTGTTGTTGGACCAGCCCCATAAACCATCCCTTTAAGTTCTCCACAATACCAGAAATTCATCGGATTGAGGTCAGGAGATCTTCCTGGCCATTTTCGAGGATCAGGAGCATTTCGACCGATCCGGCGATTTGGATAATGTTCATTCAAATACTGGATGACGCCTCTAAAAATGTGTGGTGGTGCCCCGTCATGAAGAAACCACAAATTTTGTCTCCGTTGTAATGGCATGTTGTCTAAGGTCTGTTCTAAAAGTTCTGGTAGGTTATTGGCTAGAAAGCTAAGGTATCCTTCTCCTGATAACTTTGGGAGTAACTCGAAAGGGCCAATTACCTGAAAGTCAAGATAGATTTGAGCTGCAAGATTTGAATTCTGACGAGCTTCACCGTAAACTAACAACATGTCGACGAACTCTTGATTCGAGAACATTGTAAATAAACACGTACGCGAACAAAAACAAAACAACACGCCCGATGATCTGCTCGACAAAACGATAAAGTAATTTATCTATGCAAAACGATAACTAACCACTGTTACCGTTTGCGATCGATTGCCGGTTCGATAAGAGTGATGTGTGTTTTAAATATTTAATTTAATGAAACTTACTGATTACAAATTTTGGCTTAACTTAGAAAAACTTAATGCCATTTATTTGTTAATTACCCAATTTAAAAACGTTTTAGATTATATTATAAAAATTAGTAAGATCTAAAAAAAATCTATTGGCTTTTGGACAATGGGTCATATGAACTTTTTGACTTGTTTTGACGCCCCCTATTACCCATTTCAATAATGACTACCATAACGTTTACACCGTTCTGTAAACGCTAAAAAATTCACAGGAATACGGAAGAACTGCGTGTTCAAAAATCCTCAACTGCGGTCACATGTGCGGAGGAGTGTTAGGTGAATCAAAATGTCTGCCTTGTTTACATGGCTGCTCAGGTGACAGCTCGCTGCGACAAGATGCTGATGACATGTGCATGGTATGCTTCACGGAAGCACTTTCGTGCGCTCCCGCCATTCAGGTAAAACTGAAACTATTATATATTACTTTTAAATTCTGAAACCGAGTATGGTTGAGCTCTTATTACAAGGTGCAAGTTCATAACTCTGTGAGATTTAACAATTTTATTTGTTTGCTTGTTGAAGATTTATTTAGCGTTTTTTTCACATGTTTTGAATCAATTTTATCCAATTTTACTTTCTTGTCTGTTTAAATTGCATCGCTATGCATTTTGGGTACTCATAGAGCGATTTTTTAATTTCACCTTATACATTTTTAAATTCGAGCACTGTTTAATATCATTCAATTTATTAAATTCAAATACTCCCTTTTGAAATACAGGTTTGCTAGTTATGCTACTTTTACAATCTGTACTGCCTCTAGTTTCCTAGTTATATGGTTTAATAATGATTGTCCAATTTTGTGAAGTTTTCTTAACGTGGTGGTAATGAATGACTGTTTAAATTGAATATTCAAATGAAAACTAAACGACATATAAAATTTTATACATTTAACCACTGCAGTTCTTCTGACATAGACTTAATCTTAGCATATTTATTTTTATTTAAAATTATTCTCGTAGCTTTATTTTGTAGAAATTGTAATGAAAATGTGTTTCCGCTTGCTTTTGAACAACGTAAAAAATGGGGAAGAAGTATGGAGTTATACACAATTTAATAAAAAGAAATGAGGAGGAAGAACGTACGAGGGTTGTCCCAGAAATAAGGTTTCCGCATTTTTTTCGGGCACAAGGAATTTTTTATTTATAAAACGAATTCACCATTGGAAACGTTCATCTTTGTGCTATTTTTTCTACGCATTCTTTTAGACGTGAAATCCACTTCCACTCAAGGAAGCCTGCTGCTAGCCCGTTTAGGAACTTGGTCCTTCGCTTGTTGTGAGACATGAGGATGAGCGTTGCTGCTTTTTCCACTACGACGATTTTGCACGTCTCAACTGTTCCAGAAGTCTCGGGCATTTCAACCCCCTGTTCCCGGCACGGGTATCATGTAAAAAACCTACAAAACGTCAAAAAAAAAACCTATAAGATGTCAACTTGCAGACTAGATAATTTTTTAGGGCGCAAGCAGTCATTCCACGTTTGCTCACTAGGATCGTTGTGAACGTCCATCTATGGGGGAATCACTCAACTAAGCTGCACGCATTATTGGTTGCATATGTTTTGTGAGGCTGAGTGATCCGTGTCTGTAGCTTTTGTCTCTGAGAAGAAAGTGGAAGATCGCATCGGGATGATTATGTGTATTGGTCTGCATGTGTATAAAATCAGTGGTATTTGCTGTGTGAGAAAATGATTACTGATTACGTTCAAAGTTATAAATTACAAAAAACTGATGAGAATTACGGGAAAACATCACCGCGCGCGCGTCGTGTGTAATTACTGTTAGCATGTACATAGCTTGTAATTCGACAGTGTACAGTGGATATAATTATTTCTTACCTCTCTCATTTTTGAAATTCAGCAAGTTTGTATATGAAATTTCCAGAATGGATAAGAAAAAGTGGATGCGCAACTAATTTCTAGCTTTGAATCTCAATTAAGTGTATTTGAGACAAGAACCCAATGTAATTATCATCAACACATACAACTTACAGCTTAGACCTCCAGTAATGCCATCTCAGAAGCAGATTTTACATCACATCAGAGCCAAAGATTGATAACAAGCCTCGTGACGTTTAGGCAACACGTACAACTAAGTGCTAAGTTAACATCTTGTAGAATTACCAACATAATGTCAAAAAAAAAACAGCATAATGTCAAAAAAAATCGGCATAATGTCACTTTTCAAGATCGTGATACTCGTGCCGATCGTGATTTGCCGATCTCCGAACAATATTTGCTCAATCTTCACCTCCTGCTTCGTTATTCATTATGGAGGTTCGTGCGGCAGTACGAGCTTCGTATCTTTTTTCGTACTGAGCATCGCAAATAGGCGCTTCTTGTTGGGATCGGTGGTGGGGGACGATGCTGCAAAGTACATCGTTGGAAACCATATTTTTGAGACAACCCTCGTAAAATAACTGAAGCAATTTAACCTTTATCATGTCAGCTCAGTAACTAGTGATCCATATTTCAAACATGTTTCGAAATGGTCTTTTGGTCTTTCTAATACGTAAAATATTGAAAATACAGTTATCTATTTATTGTTTTTAGCTCGGGTGTGGGCATGTATTCCACTTGCACTGTTGCAAAGCGGTGTTGGTTAAACGATGGCCAGGACCAAGGATTACGTTTTCGTTCGTGCTTTGTCCCATTTGCAAGGTAAGAAAACTCGTATGAAGATTGGCCACTTATTCCTAGATCTGCGATATGATCATTGTTCATGGTGGTGACGTACAAATTTTGTTAACACGGTGTTAATGTCTAACGATACTTTATCACGTTTTAGGAAGAGATGAAGCATGACGAGTTGCAAGATCTCCTGGCGCCGATCAGAGAATTGCAACGAGATGTAAGGAGAAAAGCTTTGATGCGGTTAGAGTACGAAGGTTTGCATACGGCTGAAGCTGTGGTAACGCCTGGTGCTCGGTTTTATAACGATCCCGCTTCTTACGCGATGGATAGATACGCTTACTATGTGTGCTTCAAGTGCAAGAAGGTAAGAATTATTTTTCAGATTGGGAAAAATTTGTTAATGAAATTGCGTCACTATGGCTCTAAAGGATCAGTATTACACATTTTACTAAATTATTTAGTAAATAGAAGTGAAAAAAACTAAAGTTGGAAATATTATGTCAAGTGTTCAAAATATATCAGTAGGGATGCCGTTACTATTTATTATTTATATAAATGATATCTCTGACATTTTAGAACACTGCAAAACTAAAATATTTGCGGACGGTACACACACATATACTTCGAAGTTGAGTCATTTATTTTAACAGTGAGTAGATCTGATCAAAAGAAATGTTTTTTCCTTTACCATTTTCCTGGTAAAATTAAAGTAACAAAGTTATAGCCCTTTGGAGGTTTGAGTACCGCCCTGTCTCAATAACAATATTATGTGGTCGTGTTTGGCGACAATGGATATAATCCGCCGTATCGGTTCATCGCATCGGAAACAAAAAAGCGAAAGAATTTGGAACGATGTTTTTACAGGTATCTCATTCATTTGTATACAGTTAGTGTCAGTGAATCGTGGTATGTGTTGCGTGGCTCAAACGAAATAAACAATGGCACATGTTTATGCGGATCGGTTTCCCAATCGAGTGCAACCAACCCCTCGTGCCTTTGTTAATGTAGTACAACGGGCTTGTGAATCAGGTGACTTAAGACCTCACAGGGGACCTCACGATCAAATACAGGTCCGCACTGAAATACTTGTCGGGAGGATACTTTATAAAACAAGGTAAACTTTTTTTTTTATTTTTTTTTTATTTTTACACACATATTTTGGTTTATCTTCCTTCTACAATCATTATCTGAAAATTAATGACTCAACTTCAAAGTCACCCTGTATATAATGTTTACCTTGTTTTATAAAGTATCCTCCCGACAAGTATTTCAGTGCGGACCTGTATTTGATCGTGAGGTCCCCTGTGAGGTCTGAAGTCACCTGATTCACGAGCCCGTTGTACTACATTAACAAAGGCACGAGGGGTTGGTTGCACTCGATTGGGAAACCGATCCGCATAAACATGTGCCATTTTTTATTTCGTTTGAGCCACGCAACAGACACGCGACTGACACTGACTGTATGTATAACTGAACTGAATAAAATAAACATCGTTCCAAATTCTTTCGCTTTTTTGTTTCCGATGCGATGAACCGATAAGGCGAATTATATCCGTTGTCGCCAAACACGAGCACATAATATTATTATTGAGACAGGGCGGTACTCAAACTTCCAAAGGGCTATAACTTTGTTACTTTAATTTTACCAGAAAAATGGCAAAGGAAAAAAACATTTCTTTTGATCAGATCTACTCACTGTTAAAATAAATGACTCAACTTCGAAGTCACCCTGTATATACAGGGTGACGCATCGAAAACGAAAAAGACGCATTTACTGGCAGCTCAGTTTTTTTTTGGAAAAACGCTCAGACCCGTCGATTTTGTTTTCGAGGGGGACACAAGTTTGGCAAAAAATCACGCTAACACGTGCAGCCCCCTGGGCGGGGGTGATACCAACAATGCTAAATAAACCTTCAACAACAACAACAAAGAAAGCCATATATATTGTTCAAATGTTTCAAACATTTGGAATTCACCGCTCTTTATACACCCCAATTGGGATGTCAATTATTTGAACTAATATACTAAATGACATAGAAAATTCAACACCGACTAGGAGTACTGTAATTTTGAGCATAGTTTTACAAGTTTTAGGTCTACCGCTAAATAGAAAGTGATTAAAATTTTAACTCGAAATTTCGCAAAATAGCTGAGATATTAATGTATTGAAGCTCCTCTGTTCGCTACACATTCGTAAAGTCGTCGCTTCATTGATTTTATTAGGTGATCAATGTCTTCTTGGTGTATTGTTATTTTGTTTGTTGGGCTAGTACTTTGATCAGCTTTTCTGTTTACTAGTCCCTTTTACAGTGAATTGGTGCTGTTTTTTCATTTTTAATTTTTTTCTCTTTGTATTTTTTTGCGCTATTATTATATTTTTTAGGCGTATTATGGCGGAGAGGCGCGTTGCGACGCGGAACTCGGAGAACAGTACGACCCGCGCGAGTTAGTATGCGGCGCCTGTTCAGACGTAGCCCGCGCACAGATGTGCCCCAAACACGGTACCGACTTCCTGGAGTACAAATGCCGGTACTGCTGCTCGGTGGCCGTCTTCTTCTGCTTCGGCACCACGCACTTTTGCAACGCTTGTCACGACGATTTCCAAAGAGTCACCAATATGCCCAAGAACGAACTGCCTTCGTGTCCCGCTGGTGAGTATAACCTACGCAACTCAAATCATCATTTTACTTCCCAAGTATGTCCTTACGTGATTAGATTTTTTTTCTTTAACTTTCTTCTTTCACTGTACATCTTATTTGTAGTGTTTGGTAGAGACAGGCGCTCCACATTCCCTCTTATCTCGGATTTCAAAAATGTACAAAGAGACTGTTTCACTACATTTGAATAATATTTTATTGTCTAGTTCAGAGTTCCCCAAACTTTTTTGTGTCGTAGACCCTTTGCCATGTTTTTCCGTGTTGGGTAGACCCCCTACTTTCCTGATATTGATTTCCTGTAAATTTCTAACTGTAGTGCCCGCATTGAAAAAAAAATAAGAGGGATAAAATAAAAAAAAAAGATAAAAATAATTAGAAAAAAAGATTTTTACTTAAAATAGTACAATAAGCGAGTTCGTTTATTAATTATAACATAAACGTATGTTCTACAATAATTTTACTGTTAGTTTGATTAAATTCCGCTTCTTATACGTTTAAGTTATCTAAAAATAGGCAAAAAATTAATGAATTTTAGTGTGTACCTATCCTTGAATTTTCAGAATAATTTAAAAAAAAATATTTTCTATAAAGGGGGGTTCTTTAAAAAAATCAATGCGGGCACTTATTCCAAATGCGGGCATTTATTGGTCAGACACCAATAAACATAAAATAAACTATAAATAAAATACCATAAGCAATAAGTCAATATTTTTAGTGAGAAGGATGAACCTGATGCTTTAATAATAAATTATCAACATTTGGCGTCAATTTTGTAAGGGTTAATCTTAAATCTCCTCGGCTAATGATGTCCAGTCTGTTTCTTGTTTTCGTTAGAAGATTGGTAACAGCGCTGAACTCCCTTTCCACTAGGTATGACGATGGTAAGGAAAATAAAAATTTCCTCGCTATATTCCATAATACGGGATAAGTAACGGGTATGTTGTTTTGCAGCCAGAATTGCTGATATCCATTTTTAAACTGAACCTTAAGATCTTCGTTTGTACTTAGTTCAGTCAGTTCCTCTTGTATTATGACATTCGTTTCTTCTATGTCACCATATGGATTAATTATCCACGCTGGTATTACCATAGTCAAAATATCCTCAAACCTAGATTCAAAATCTGAATAGAGGGCATTTAAATGTTGAACGTAAGTTGAAACGTCGTCTTCCTGGCAGCTTGTCTGTGACAAATTGGGGAACTGAGAAAATTCGCCCCGTCCAATATTTTGCTTCATTATTAACTCTGGCAAGAAACGCTGATAAGATGGATTTTGTTTTAATCAAATTTAAACTGTCGCCTTGTAATTGCAAATTAACCATATTAAATTTTGTAAACAAATCTGTTAAATAGGCGATGTCTGTTTTCCTCTTCATTAAATTTTCTTTTAAAATTTTATCTTTAGAATCCAGAAATTCTAAAATAGTCTCAAAAAGTGCAAAAAATTTTGTCAAACATAAGCCTTTCGACAGCCAGCGTACTTCAGTGTGAAGGAGTAATTGATGAAAGTGTTTTTTCTTCACACAACTGCGCAAATAACCGCGTATTCAACGCGTTGCTTCGGATTCGGTTTACTGCATCAATGACTAAATGAAGTGATTCATGCATTCTAACACTCAAATTTTTAGCAACTAAATGTTGTCGATGGATGACGTAATGTATTGCTAACACCCCTGACACATTTTGTTTTAAATAGCTTATAAATCCACGATAACGTCCAACCATGGCAGGTGCTCCATCTGTAGCTACTGATATTATATTTGATAGAGGAATTGCTTTTTCAATGAAGTAATCCTTCAAAACATGAAATATTGATTCACCTTTAGTGTCGGTTATCAAAGTTCTTGCGAAGAGCAGTTCTTCGTAGTTTTGTTGATTCATAATAAAACGAACATATGCCAATAATAATGCTGGATTATCCGGTAAAGTTGACTCGTCCAGTTGAATAGAGAAATGGGTCGTTTGCAAATAATTACATAAGAAGCTTTCAATATCAGAACTCATTTCATCAATACGTCTTTCAACAGTATTGTTGCTTAAGGGAATTCTTTTAATGATATCAGATGCAGGTTTGTGTAAAACAGTTTTTAAAACCTCCTCAACGGCTGGAAAAATTAACTTCTCTCCGATAGTATGCGGTTTTCCGGATTTTGCTATAAGTAACGAGATATTGTAAGACGCCCGCAAACCATCATCATTTCTTTGTGACGTCGAAGCGAACATCTGACCAGTGTAGGTCTCTTCTGAAATTTATCTTTGAGTGTTTGAAAGTATTTCAAATCTTTCTCTGTTTTATCAGGGTGGCATCTTCTCAGATGATCTTGCAGTTTAGATGGTTTCATAGCGTCATTGCCCAAAACTTTGTTGCATAAAAGGCACATAGGCGATTGTTTGTCCGGCAATGATGGAATGAAGCCAAATTTCTTGTACTTTCTACATTTCTTTTTAGATTCGGACATGGCATCAGTCATCTGTGGGCAAAATTAAATTATTTAAATAAGACAGAAAATCCAGCAGCTGTATATTAAAAATATTTTTTGATTTTTCCGAAAACATTCCATAATTCGAACATCTTCTTGCAACAATTAGCTCGAATTACGGAGATTGCACTGTAATTATATTACCGATTGCTAAAACTTTCAAAAAGAAACTATTGAGGAGGACTCGTGTAATTTTGCATGTTTGAATATTTAACTACAAATAACTAAAGTCATGTTTGGCGTAATTTATCTATCTTTGCTAACTACGAGTACAAAACTAAAATTTAATAAAAAATAATGTACTCACTTTTCTCCAGCACTCTCAAACAAAATAACACTGACTCACTATAATTTGTGTGATATACTATCTGTTTATATTTTTTAAAATATTTTCTTAGCACTTTCCTTTTCAAGATTCAGGAAACGAATAAACGTATTTGTCCCACATTCGTATTTATAGAGTGACGAATTGAACAAGACAGTGCAAGGTAGCGAAGCTCTGAGACTGCGACTCTCAGGTTTTTACAAGTTCAAAATGTATTGCGACCACAAAGCGAATACCAACTTACACAATTTTATAAACATATATAATAATTTTTTTTACTTTTATAAATAATGTATATGTTTTGATATTATAAGATAGTATGATGTAAGGAAATAGGTACTATCAGTGTATGTGTTGAGATCCACTATCGTGGATCCCCATATTCATTTCATGGACCCCCAAATTTTTTTTTGCTGACGTAGACCCCTTGCAGGTTGTCATAGACCCCTAGGGGTCGATATGCCCACTTTCAGAATCAATGGTTTAAATGTTGCAGATATCGTTTGTGCATTGGAAGGTTCGGAATTTAAAACTGTGCAAGAATATAAACCCAATACATTTTGCCCAAAAAATGTACTTCATTGGACCACTCAGTTCGTAGATACTATCCACTAACAATAAAATTTGGCTTTATGTAGTTTTTATCTATCTTTTTCTTTAGGTCCAAAAGCAAAACAGCTGGATGGCGAAGAGTGCCCCCTACACGTGAAACATCCCCAAACGGGAGAAGAATTTGCTTTAGGCTGTGGGGTGTGTAGGAATGCGCACACCTTTTAATGATTCTAGTCATATTTATAATCCAGTTCGCTTTAAGTACTCTAAGCTTTAAGCATATATTTATCAAATTTATATTCTGATATGTGTATTCAACTTCGTAGCCATGGTGCGGTAATATATTTATGATGCAATATTTCCGTTATTTTTATTAAATAGCAAGACTAGCAATGTGTTTATTCGTAATTTTGAAATATTTGGAGATGATTTTTCGTAATTTTTAATAGTCGAGATAGATGGTTTTCGTCATTTTAAATTCGTTTTTCGGTCTTGTGGTGGTGAAAACGTATTTGAGATTCATACAAGAAAACTTAAATCGTGTAAATTTTTGTTTGACGAATCGGAAAGCTTTTTATTTCCGATACACAGAAAATGTGATCATCATCAGAAAATAAAGGCTTTTTTTCCTCATATCTGACGAAAGAAAATGCTTATCAAACCACATTAGGCTTTAACATAACAGCTTTAGTGCGAAATTTTACGTTTAAAAATTGGAGGGTAAATTTTACCATAGAAAAAAGTGAAATCAGTATATATCTCTTAAAAGCAACAACAGAAAAAAAGATAGTTCTGCAAGTCAGGTATTTGGACGAGAGATTTAGGCCTCTGTGGGTCGGAATGTACTGCCATTATACAGGGTGACAGGTAAATAGGTGTAAAACATTTTAGGAGGTGATAGTACAGCCCCTTTGCTATCGAAATTAATATATATACCCTATATTCAAAGGTTGAAAAGTCGAAAGAGAAAAAAGTTGGCGATTAAACATTTGTTTTTTGTGGTTTTGGGTTATTATTTCAATAATTAACTATTATAAATTAAAAAAGATTCGAAAACAATACCAAACAACGTATTTATTTTCATTCAAAAATATTTAACCAAGAAAAACAAATAACGTTTTACAGTAAGTAAAGTGTTTTACAAAAAAATCAGTATACAAAAAAACCTACAAGCAATTTAAATAATATCCTTGTTTCATAAGGAATCTAAATTGGTATGATAAGTGCACAAAAACTGTGTGAAACTAAACATAATGTATTGTAATACAACAATAGGGAGTAAATTTACCAATGGCTTGTCTCCTATTTTCACAACTCTCTGATTGATAAGAAAGTGTTTTTGTGAAAATAATGTAACTGTCAGCTATGGGATAGTTATTATTTTAAACTACGGTTAAGTTACACGATTAGATTATTTACACAGTTCTAATTGTACTACAGAATAATAAAAACTGACCAAAAGTTACTACAATTGGTAAGTAAAATACAATAATGAAATGAAGGTAAAATTCATTGCAATTGTTGTTCGAACTGACGCCCGCCGTTTCTTATGCAAGCCCGTAGTCTTTTTCTCATGTTGGTACGCGTGATGCGGCCAGTTAGTTGTCCTCTGATAGTGTCAGCAGCAGCAATAATTCTTTTTTTCAACTGTGCAAGAGTGTCTATGGGCTCAGTGTACACCAGTGACATCATGTGCCCCCATAAATAATAGTCACACGGTGTTAAATCTGGGACAGCCATCGTGTTGGTAGATCATCTGCATCCTGATATTCAGAGGCAGGTCTTCGAGATACTCCCAGAGTTCGGATCTCAAAAAGTTTTCATAGGATTTGCCATTCAGGTTGTCAGGCAAAAAAACTGGTCCAATTAGATACGTATGAATGATTCCCATCCACACGTTTGCCGAAAATCTTCTTTGATGGGCTCTTGGCTTTGCCATGTGGGGATTTGCCTCTCGTGGGGCCCAATAATGTAAGTTGTGATAATTTGTTGTCCCCTCTCTGTCAAACTTAGACTCGTCGGTCCACAATATTTTAGTTCAATAGTCGTTTTCTTCTTGATCCCGATGAAGCATGTATCGACAAAAATCAATTCTTCTTGCGGGATCTCCTTCTTCCAATACTTGAACCGGTGTGTAATGGAAAGGATAAAGTTTCGCCGAATGCAAAACGAACCAAACTTTCCACTGAGTTGAACCAAACTGCTTTGCTATAATTCGTGTAGACGTCGTCGGGTCTCTGCCGTAGCATTCCAGTATTGCCTCTCGATCTTCGTCGTCAAACAACCAAGGTCTACCAGCATCATGACATCTCAAATGAACCTGTCCACTTTCCTTGACGCGTTGGTACACAGAAGCAAATACTCGATGACTCGGTATTCGCCGATTCGGAAAACGGTTTTCTTATTCTCGCCTGGCTTCAACGGAATTTCCATCACTTAAACCATAACAAAACAGAATATCAGCGTATTCTTCGTTACGGTAACTCGCTATTATTAAAACTGATCAAAAAAGTAAAAGTACGTCCTACCGCGTTAAAGGTTGATATTCTACTAACTAACCTAAGCGTTAGTTCTCTTTCCTTGGTCCGTCAGCTGTTTCAATTCATAACACACGCAGAGCTTGCTTCCGAGGAGCGACGACAGATTCCGAATACTTAAACCCGAATAACGGCACAGGGCATAAAAAATAACAAAAAGGGTCGAACCATGAAAGGGTCGGTTTACCTGATCAGTACAATGAAATGCGCATAGCGGTCCTTTCTAGCAAAGTAATATTGTTTTGTTAAATGGTTTACTTACTGATATGTTATTATACAATTTTAGAAACCTAATGAAACGATGAAGTTTTTGCAGTTATTTGTACATTTTCCTTATTATGATTATTTTGAAAAAAAAGACTTCTTAATGTGAAAGTTGAAAATAAAAATTTTCATTTAACATTTAAATGAAAATTTCAGTAGTCTTTTTATATGTTTTTTAATTTATGAGAATTATTTATTTAAATAATAACCTCAAACCACCAAAAAAAGAATGTTTAATCACCAACTTTTTTTATCTCAAATATTTTACTCTGTAATCTGAGTTGTTTTTTAAAAAAAATAAATCTTCCATAACTTTTTAACCTTTGAATATAGGGTATGGTATTATATACTAATTTTGATAGCAAAGGAGCTGTACTATCACCTCCTAAAATGTTTTACACCTATTTACCTGTCACCCTGTATAAACGGTGTCTCAACAAGAACGTATAAATGGTATGGTGTTTCCTATTTCATGTTCAATCGCAACTATTCATATTCATGTTGAAATATAAATACTCGCTTAATTCGAAAAGAAATTGTGATTTTCTTCAAAATCAAATCCGGCTCTTTTATGTCATGACGTGGATTTCTAGAGTATTTTCTCTTTGTTTTTGCCACCTTTTATATACCTCTGGAGGATCGATGTCTAATGATGTGAAACAATGTTTTCCTGATATATGCAATTGATCTCCATTGTTTGGCTGAATGATTGATCTGTTTGTTCAGTTTCTTAGGACTGATACCACATTTCTATCGCGAAAGATAAGCCAAACATGAACAACACAATATTTATTCAAAAGATTTACGTAAACAGAGATATAATGAAACTCTCTAAATACCATTGGGTGTCACTACAGCAAAATGCGTGTCTATTCGACGAACTTTTTTTCATTTACTTTTACGTCGAACAGTTTTGAACCTTTTTTTTAAATTTACATGTTGGCCGATTAAGCTCCAAGACCTAAATGCACTGTTTCGTCAGGTAACAGATATCGAATTCTATTACAACTTAGTGCCTGTAGAGGTTCATAAATGGTTTATTTTCAGGCTGCAACCAGTTGCTTTTAGAATAAATGCATTTCCTTTGTTCTACGATGTGGAAAGTATAAGCATGTCTAGGCTTGTCTGATTTATTTGCTTCACTGAAATGCACCACTTGCCCATCGATTATTACACAGCTACCTGCAACAAATGTTTTTTGTCACACATTTATACTCTATTTTTATTATTTCAAATCAAAACACTACGTTGTACTAAATTTATACAGGGTGGCCCAACGAAAAGGTCGCACCCCCTATTTGTGACTCTCCTGGTCAATTTTGATTTATAGCGACGACTTTTTATCTACAGGGTTATCCAAATTAAGTGTCCACCATTGGTAACTTTGTTATTAGTAAAAATACAAAGTTGTTTAAATTAGCAAACTAGTAGCATTTTTAACGCTGGTAAAAATGAGAAATAAAAAAAAACAATTGAGAGTCGTTATTTTGATTTTTTTCAGTAAAATAACATTTTTTTAAATGGAAACCCCTGTATATTATATTTTTTTCTGTTAAAGCATCAAATTTTAAACAAAAAAGTTCATAATGACTTTTCCGCTAAAGTCAAAAATAAAGTCAAAATAACGATAAATATTTTTAATTATTTGCAGTATTATAATATTAAGACGGCTATGAAAACAACATGGCGTTCGCGATTTGACAGCATTAAGATAAGCGACAAATTGTTAAACTGGACATACTCGCAACTAGAAGGCTTTGGAAAACAATGATAAAATCAAATAATGTCAAACATTAGTGTAAATACTTGTTTATAAGCTTTATTGTGTCATTAATTTAAAGAAAAATGTTCTCCCATGAAGAAAAGTGTGATATGTTAGAATGCTATTTAGTGTGCAGAAAATCCTCCTTGAGAGCAAGAGAATACTACAGTGAATTATATCCCGCTCGCATTCAACCGTATGAACGATATTTTCTGAGACTTTATCGAAAATTTAGGGGCAACGAAAATGTTTTTGCTAAAACAAGGGCAAAAAAAGAATTCATAATAAGCGAGGCCACGGAAATTGCAGTTATTGGATATTTTGAAGCTTATCGTGAGAATTCAATAGCAGATATTCTCAAGGACTCTAATTTCAGTTATGGTACTGTTCAAAGGATTTTAAAAAAATACAAATTTATTCCGTATAAGTACCGACCAGTTCAAACGCTTTTGGCAGGGGATCCAGACAGAAGACTTGTTTTTTGCCATTGGTATCTTAGCTTCTGTCGCCAAAATGTAAATAACTTTCGTTACCTTTTATGGACAGATGAATCAAATTTTTCAAATTCTGGAATGTTTAATAGAAAAAACCACCATTATTGGTCAAGAGAAAATCTTTTGTTAGTACATCCAAGAGGCCCACAAGTCCGTTTCAGTTTCAACGTTTGGTGCGGTATAATTGGTTCAAAAATTGTTGGCCCGTTCTTTTATGAGGGAACCCTAACTGGTGAAAGATATGTGGAATTTATGTCAGAAATTCTGACTAATTTCTTAGACGAATTGGATCTTATAAGTAGACATCATCTGCATTTTCAGCAAGATGGCGCACCTGCCCACAACTCCAGAGGTACTTATCATTTTCTAAGTACTACTTTTAATGATCAGTGGATAGGAACAAATGGCCCAATACAGTGGCCTCCCAGATCACCAGATCTAAACCCACTTGATTACTTCTTGCGGGGTTACTTAAAGAACCAAATTTACAAGCGAAGGTACGATAACCTTGACGCGTTAAAGACTGCAGTTAGGGAAAAGATAACCCAGATAGATGGTAGGACCATACTTAAGACAGTTCGAGCAGTTGAAAAACGTGCCCAAAAATGTATTGAAGAACAAGGTGGTGTTTTCGGGCATCTTCTTTAAAAAAAATTGTTATTGTATTTTGTAAGATTATAAGTTGATGTTGAAAATAAAGTTTGTCGATACAATTTAATTGTTTCAGATTGGAGGCCATAACTTCAACAATTTGTAACCTAGGAGAAAAGTTATTGTAAGCTTTTTTGTTTAAAATTTGATGCTTTAACAGAAAAAAATATAATATACAGGGGTTTCCATTTAAAAAAATGTTATTTTACTGAAAAAAATCAAAATAACGACTCTCAATTGTTTTTTTTATTTCTCATTTTTACCAGCGTTAAAAATGCTACTAGTTTGCTAATTCAAACAACTTTGTATTTTCACTAATAACAAAGTTACTAATGGTGGACACTTAATTTGGATAACCCTGTATAGCCGTACAGTACAGGGTGGTCCAAAAATAAGATATTGCGTTACATTCTAGTAAGATATAATCCCTTATTACAATTTCTAGAATTTTATTATAAACTCAAATAGCTTCACAACGATTGAAGAGAGGTATAAACTTTATTATACAAAAGGTACTAAACACTTTATGGAAATTGGGTTTCCATTTAAAAATCTAAAAAGTGTAACGCAATACCTTACTTTTGGAGGTTTGGGTTTTCCTTTTCAGAAACAACTGCCCTTGAAATAACAAAGGTAATGTGTAGTGAAACGAGGGCGACCAAGTAAAAAAAAATAAAGAAAAAAGTACTCACTCTCCAGTTGACGAGAAGGGCTAAGTACGTCTCTGCCCGAAATCATACCGCTCCAACAGAAAATGAAATCAGCTGATGCGCTACGGAGCAGACGCCGGCGGTGGTGCAGACCAGTAGACTACACGAACAGAGGTAACAAATATGACCATCGTGCAGAAACCACATTGATTGTCTTACACTTAATGGCACATCTTCTAACAAGGAAGGCAAAATGTTGCGTAAAAAGTCTAGGTATTGCATCCCGTCCAATCGATTTGGGAGAATAAATGGTCCAATGAGCATACCGTTCACCATGCCAGCCCAAACATTCACCGAAAATGTTTGTTGAAAATGTGCCCGACGGACAGCGTGCGGATTTTCTACTGACCAAACATGAGTGTTGCGAAAGTTATTCACCCCATTACGCGTGAACGTAGATTCGTCTGTCACCAATATGCACTTCAAAAAGTCCGGATTATTCTCATGTTGATGCAACAACCACTCACAAAACCGCACTCTTGCTGGAAAATCGTCAGGTTGAAGGGCTTGTACACGTTGGACGTGAAACGGATACAGCCCCTTTTCACGCAGCGTTTGCCACACTTTAGTTTTTTATACTTGCACTTCTCTAGCCACGTCTCTAGTGCTTGTTGTTTTTTGAAACGCAATCGATTATACGGGTTCGTTTACCTCTACACGCGTGACCGTAACCGTCGGTTGAAGGTTGCATACTGACCTGACACACTGACCCCGACCCCCGACCAAGTTCTGTCGTCGAGTTGAGCTAGTGTCCTAGTACCAGTTGGGGATGTCGCGAGTCGCGGCTACAGGACGGTATTCAGATATTTTTGATGTTGCAGAGCCCTTTATCTCGGTTCCCTTAAGACATTGGTGTATATGGTACTAAGAAAAATTGCTTATGTTTTCAAGATCTACACGTCGTGTAAAGGAAAACCCCAACTTTGCGGACACCCTGTAGAAATCAAAATTGACGTTACCGATCATTTTTCCCAAAATGTACTAGGAGAGTCACACTGAGCCACCCTGTAGATCTTGAATATAATTATCAAGTCACCGTTGAATTTCATTAACAGTTACATTTCTTGAAATGTCAAACAAAACAAAAAATAGCTAACAATCTACAGGGTGGCGCATCGAAAACGAAACAGACGCATTTACTGGCAGCTCAGTTTTTTTTTTTTGGAAAAACGCTCAGACCCCTCGATTCACCCCCAAAATCAGTGATTCTTAAACCTTTGGTCTTTACAGCACATAAAGTGACCAAAGCAGACTAAACAGTGCGCCAAATATTCTAAAAATCACCTTTTTCAACTGGAACAGGTTTGAAGTTGCTACGTTGATAAATCGGCGGTCCTGATTTGTAAATAAGCAACTGATCAGAACCTTTGTCCGGATTCCTGACATATCTCCTGTGAACCCCGCTTTTATGCGACCCAGCGGCAAACCATAGGCATCCGTTTTCCACTGTAGCATCGTCTAATGCTATCCAAAATCCCGTCACTTTCACGGGTTCTGTATACAGATAGGTCGCGTCTTGATGCGCTGTTACTGAAAATTAAAAATATCAAACTTTTAAAAGCTCCACAGCTCTATAATAATCGAGACAAGATTACGATTCTTGAATATTAAATCACGGCTCACGTTGGTCCTGAAACATTATTTTTATCCCCGTGGCAAATGCTTGTTCCGGAAGTTGTGCACTTCCTCCCGTACAGGCGCTAAGGATTTTATATTTAACATCATTCACAAGCAAAAAGAAGGACACAAGGACCAGTCGTCCGAGGCGGTACCACCCGCTAACTTTTCCAGGGTGTCTTAAGATTGTTCACACTTAGGCTACGCATCTCCTAAATTTATTTGCTGCTTCTATAGCTCTCCCTCGGACCATAACTGGGATGACCTTGAATACCTTGCTACTTGAATTTTAAGATGTTAAAACTTATATATTCTACACTTTAATCGATTATATTTTACATTGTTCCTCACCTTCGGAGCCAATCCCAGGGTTTTTGAAAATATACATGCTTTGAACGACAGCAGGTTCCTCGTACCCCAGTTGAAAAGCCACTTCCTTCACTTGTTCGCTGAAGGTCATTTTTCTGAATACAGGATCAAGTTCATGTAACGCATGTCCGATTTTATTCAGAGATAAGTGAGGTTCCACTAGTAGTTCTCCATTTGGCCCTATAGCCCCTTGCTCATAAAAATAGCTAATTTTGTCGCCACTCTCCAGAAAATATCGATCCTTGTTCTGAAAATGCATGCAGGATGCTACAATGAGTTCAGCAATTCGTTGAAACAGTGTGTAAGTAATGGACAGTAAGGTAAGTATCAATAGCTGTCCCCTAATCGTTATCGAATACTTATTTAAGTGTTGCTTAAATTCATGAAACACTATGTCAAGTTGAGAACATTCGTAGTACGTGTATTAGATGATACTTTTTGGTGAAGAGAGAATTAGATTGTTTAAAATGTCAGCCCGCTGTTGAATGGAAGAAGACGATGTACGAGGAGTGCTAAGAAAATAACTGGGAATTTTCAAAGTTCCTGGGTTTAGAGAGTCCGATTATCATTTTTCCATGTTGGTATACATGCCCCCGAAGTATGATTTTGAACTGTATTCGCTGAGGCTAGACTTGTTTTTATGAGCTCCTCGATTTTCGTTTGTTATAAAAAATTGATGAAAGAAATTGTGGCAAATTTTACGTAAAAAACTAAATAAATTGTAACAAAGTTTGTGAAATGTTAACAAAGTCTGCCACGAGTAAAAAAGAGTCTACGAGAGGTATAAGCCAAGATGACCATGAAGACGTTGAAGATAACGGGGTATTATGTAAGAAACATAAAAAAAGTCAAAAAGACAACAAAATATCATCTTGCAGACTAAGTAGTTTTTAGTTTGCTAATAGTAGTGACCTATACAAGGTGTCCGCAAAGTTGGGGTTTTCCTTTTCAGAAACAACTACCCTTGAAATAACAGAGGTAATGTGTAGTGAAACGAGGGCGACCAAGTAAAAAAAAATAAAGGAAAAAGTACTCACTCTCCAGTTGACGAGAAGGGCTAAGTACGTCTCTGCCCGAAATCATACCGCTCCAACAGAAAATGAAATCAGCTGCGCTACCGAGCAGACGCAGAAACCACATTGATTGTCTTACACTTAATGGCACATCTTCTAACAAGGAAGGCAAAATGTTGCGTAAAAAGTCTAGGTATTGCATCCCGTCCAATCGATTTGGGAGAATAAATGGTCCAATGAGCATACCGTTCACCATGCCAGCCCAAACATCCACCGAAAATGTTTGTTGAAAATGTGCCCGACGGACAGCGTGCGGATTTTCTACTGACCAAACATGAGTGTTGCGAAAGTTATTCACCCCATTACGCGTGAACGTAGATTCGTCTGTCACCAATATGCACTTCAAAAAGTCCGGATTATTCTCATGTTGATGCAACAACCACTCACAAAACCGCACTCTTGCTGGAAAATCGTCAGGTTGAAGGGCTTGTACACGTTGGACGTGAAACGGATACAGCCCCTCTTCACGCAGCGTTTGCCACACTTTAGTTTTTGATACTTGCACTTCTCTATCCACGTCTCTAGTGCTTGTTGAGGGATTCTCGTCTACGCGATTACCTCTACACGCGTGACCGTAACCGTCGGTTGAAGGTTGCATACTGAAATGACACACTGATCCCGACCCAGTTCTGCCGTCGGGTTGAGACCTTGTACCAATCGGGGATATCGCGGCGGGTTGCGGCTACAGGACGGTATTCAGATATTTTTGATGTTGCAGAGCCCTTTATCTCGGTTCCCTTAAGACATTGGTGTATATGGTACTAAGAAAAATTGCTTATGTTTTCAAGATCTACACGTCGTGTAAAGGAAAACCCCAACTTTACGGACACCCTGTATAATGTCGAGATACGTAATACCCCTGCGGGTTTGTGGAAAAACAATTCATACTTTTCATAATTCATTGCATGTTCGTGAAGTTTTCGTCGAAAACAATACTGAACGATGTCCCAGCCTCCATATTTGCCAGAAATGACCTTGTGTGATTTTTTCCTATCTCGAAAAATAAAGAGAACTCTTTAAACGGCCGCCGTTTTACAGCGATTCATGACATTAAAAACGCATCGTTGAAAGAGCTAAACTCTATCTCAAGGATCGAGTTTGAGAAGTGTTTAGGCGATTGGAAGAAGCGCTAGCGCAAGTGCATTATCAGACGAACTATTTTGAAGGCGGCAATAATAATGTGGATGACTGAATATTAAAAAAAAATATTTTTTGAACACACCTCGTAGATGTTTCGTACGTTTATGTGACTTTGATGCTGGATCACCATCAAGTGAATGCTCTCAATCGAAATATTTTGAAACTATTTTTTGTACGGAGCCTTCTTTCATTGTCTTTTGTTCATTGAGTGCCTTGTTAGTGGGAATTCGTGAAATTTTCTTTGATGTATAATCGACTGTGTCAGATCTGTTTGACAGTGCTTACTTACGAGGGTGGTCCCAGAAGTACCCGGCCTGACCTAGAGATGGCGATAGTTGTTTGAAAAATATCATTGTAGGTATCGGAAAGTATGCAACCTATAAAGCATATGTGTCAAGTTTGAGGACGCCACGTTGTTTAGTATTCGTTTGGCAGCCATTAATACTGAACGTTTTCAGTGAATTTGTGAAAATGGAGAAAATTGGTCATCGTTATGTGGTACAATACTTTTATTTCAAAGGCCTCAGCCCAACCAATATAAAAGCTGAACTGGATTCTACTCTGGGTGAGTCTGCTCCTTCGTTTACAACAGTAAAATATTGGGTAGCAGAGTTTAAACGAGGCCGTATGAGCTGCCAAGACGAGCATCGCAGTGGTCGACCAAATGAGGAGACGACTCCAGAAATGGTGAAGAAGATTCACAAAGCGGTAGTGAATGATCGCCGACTGAAAGTGCACGAGCTAGCAGACATAGTAGGCATTTCAAAAAGTGTGCTTCATCGCATATTATCTGAAAATTTGGACATGATAAAGCTGTGTGCAAGCTGTGCACAATCGAGCAAAAACAGTGTCGTGATGTTTCAATTGTTTGTTTAGCGAAGTTTCACAGCAACAAAGCAGAATTTTTGCGTCGTTTCATAACCATGGATGAAACATGGGCCATCACTTCCCACCCGAGACAAAAGAACAATCAAAACAATGGACTCAAAAGGGACAACCGGCTCCAAAGAAGGCGAATACCGTTTCATCTGCAAGCAGGGTTATGGCGTCGGTTTTTTGGGATGCGCGTGGGATAATTTTCATTGACTAACTTGAAAAAGGTAAAACTGTCAACGGCGAGTATTATGCGAAGTTATTGCAACGTTTGAGCGATGAAATCAAGCAAAAACGGCCACATTTGGTGAAGAAGAAAGTGTTGTTTCATCAAGACAATGCACTAGCTCACAAATCCGTTATTGCAATGGCCAAAATTAACGAATTAAAGTTTGAATTGCTACCTCATGCACCCTATTCACCAGATTTAGCCCCCTCGGATTATTTTCTGTTTCCAAACTTGAAAAAATGGCTGAGAGGTCAAAGATTTTCCAACGATGAAGAAATGATGTGGGCAGTTAATGGCTATTTTGAGGAGCAAGACAGTTCTTATTATAAAAACGGTATCGAACTTATTGAACATCGCTGGGAAAAGTGTATAGAGCTCAAAGGAGATTATTTTGGAAAATAAATACATTTTTTTTTACAAAATTTTTGTGTTTTCTTCGTTGGGTCGGGTACTTCTGGGACCACCGTCGTATTTTATTAAAATTTTCAGGCTATTGCATAATACGTTACTTCAAGAACATTGTACAATTTTTTGTGTAACCCTGGTTGGTGGTGAGAGCAGCTTTATAGCTGATATCGGCCAGGTAAAATAGAGACCGATTACAATAAAAGTCCCAGACACTACTAGTGCTGATTCATGGTATACAAAACATACCTGCTGACTTTCAGAATCAGTAGTACTAAAAATGACCCTCTGAGACTCTTCTGGCATTTTCTTTACGAGTACATCGATCTCTTTTTTCATGAGATTAACTTCCTCTTCCGAGAACAACTTGTCAATGACGGCATAACCGTTGGTTTCATACTGGAACACAAAAATAACAACCTCTTTCACATAAGCGACGGACATATACTAAGTGACATATAAATCCGAACACCCAGTTTAAATGGTTTTATTTTAATAAAATTTTGTACAAGTACTTAATGAGGCATAATAAGTAAATGATAAAAATTTCAAAATGACTGCACTGCTTTAAAGCCCTTTGACCTTTAATAATGTGTGGATGCACCCTGATGTGCTACGCATTCTCCAACGCGCCTAGGCATGCTTCTGATCAGGTGGTCAATGTCCTCCTGTGGTATCTCATTCCAGGCAACCACCAACTCCTCTCGAAGTGCTTCTAGAGTCTGAGGAGGACGTTGCAAATTGAGCAATCTCCTACCCATCATATCCCACACGTGCTCAATTGGGGATAAGTCGGGAGATCTTGGTGTCCATGGTAACAATGTGACATCATTAGGTTGAAAGAAGTCTATTGTGACTCTTGCAACATGTGGTCGGGCATTATCTTGTTGGACAGTTGGATCTACCAGGGTGTCAAGAACTTCGTGGATATAACGCTGCGCGTTCATGTTACGTCTGATGAAGATTAAAGGTGACCTGGAACCATAAGCTATAGCACCCCAAACCATAACTCCAACAGTGTGATGAACATGTCTTTCAACAAAAAACTATGGATTCCTTCTTTCACCACGTCGCCTTCTAACCCTGGCACGACCATCGTGCATGCCTAAACAAAATCGAGACTCGTCACTAAAGACAATACTGTTCCATTCCTGATCCCAGAGTGACCGTTGTCTGCACCACTCAAGGCGATTACGTCGGTGTTCTCGAGTTAAAGGGAGGACCCAGTGTGGCCGGTATGAAAACAAGCCAAAACTTCTCATTCGTCGGTAAACACTTCGCATGCCAATAGGTCTTCCGTGTTCTGCAAACCATTCATTTGCAATGAACCTGGTAGTGGAGAAATGGTCCCTTAAGGCCAATAATCTTAGGCGGCGATCTTCACGGTCTGTTGTTCTACGGCGGCGTCCAGTGCCCCTTGCTCTTTGCGTACGGCCTTCTCGAAGCCATGCCTGACAACACTTAACCACAGTGTCTACACTTCTTTGCACTCTAACTGCAATTGCCCGAAAAGAAAGTCCAGCTTCCCGAAGTCCCACTATACGGCCCCTATCAAACTCACTAAGTTGACGAAATCGTACAGGTCTCCGTACTCTAGGCATCGTAACCGATCGTAAAGGATGTCAAGAACCAAAATCCGCCAACGTTGATTCTTTACTGCGGCTAAAATATTCATTTTTAGAGCGTTAGTGAATTAAAAAAAAAGCAGTATAAAAACAGGAATGTCCAACTGATAAGGCTGAAATTTTTTCACTTGTTATTTACAGTAAGATAAATACATTCACCAACTTTTATTAAAATAAAACCATTTAAACTGGGTGTTCGGATTTATATGTCACTTAGTATATTTGTGATCGGAAACAATTCAATGTCGACTGTACCTACTAGGAAAATTCTCTTTCCAAATACCACAGAGTGAAATTTAAAAATTCGGCATATTTATGAGGATGAACGCCCAAGTGTGGCATACTCAAAAAAAACTCAAAGTTATAAATCGTTCAACGATATTTGTTCACAAAAATTGAATATTTTAGTCTGAAAACCACCACGTTCAATGCCAATTTTCAATAATGAACTGAGATCATTGCAGATAGTGGAATCAACTACTTGTTATTGCTACATTCCTTGGAATGCAACTAGTTTACTTTCGTAATAAAAATCACAACGGATTTTCACTTAAAATGCAGTAATTTACTAGATGCCGATGTTTTTGTAGTCTTTATCCTACGTGGAGGTACCATCCAGTCCCAGTGAAATGACGTCATTATTTGGTCACTTTTGGTCTTTATTGACGCCATTTTTGCGGGTGACTATATGTTATGTCGATGTCATATCGACTTCAATTAGACGTTATATCCACGTCATACCGACTTTGTATTTGGTCTATTATACGTCATACAATGACGTCAATTTTATGTGACATTAGATCGTCATACTGACGTCATTTCTACGTCATTTTTTTGGTCGGCTTACGTCAACAATGCCAACATTATCACATCGCTATGTTCACTGGGTACGTTTTTGTCTTAAACTTAAAGCACAGTTTTTCCTTTAAGAGGATCATTTTGCGCGTATTGCCCCTATTTTACATACTGTTGTTCTAACACGTGTTATACAATTTTTATTAGATGTATGCATGTGGGATAGCCTTTCACATGTGGGGAACGTTTCAGCCGTTAGATGACTCATACTGTGCGGCTTTTTTAATGTGTAATTAACTTGGATTTCATAAAGGATAAGCTTTGCCAGCTGATGCTTGAATGAAAACTAATCAGAGTTCACACTTGATCATGCATAAACCTATATTGGCAGGTAATCAGTATATATTTCGGCTATCGAAAATAGAGGTATCGATCTATAAATAAAGTTCGTTAAATAATATTCCTCGGCAAATGTTAGTATGTCAGTGTTATCAATAGAACTTTTCAATTCTTCCAATGCAACTTGAGATAAATATTGAGCGACGTGATATAATATTATATAAATAATAATTTATCAAATTAATGACATTCATTACTTAAACTATGCATTTGAAAAACAAATAGTAGTAATGGAAATAAAATTACCTGTTTCACGACCTTTTCATACATGTTCACTGAATACAATAGAATATATTAAATGAAGCATATGAATGTGGTTAAGAGTGAATATCTGTTATCTGTCGCTAACGATATTTTCCAAGTTTTAAAGTTCACGCACAGTGCGCATCACAAACATCTGGGGATGAGTCACGCATGCTCTCTGGGGAACTTGATTCTTATAGGTACCGTTGCGCTACGAGGGGCATCACGAAAGATCTGTCATAAGTAACTAAATAGTAGACAGTTGTCATCGATTTACACTGCAACAGATCCCCAAAAATTCCATAAAAGTTGAAGTTTTATCAAGCGTTCAAAGAGTTTATATCATGATTTTTTTATTGATTATGAACTTATTATCAGAATTATTGGACGTATCCGCACGGGTATCACGTATCTTGAAAAGTGACATTATGTAGATTTTTTTTTACATTATGCTGTTTTTTTTACATTATGTAAGTTTTTCTACAAGATGTTAACTTAGCACTTAGTTGTACGTGCTGCCATGAGGCTTATTATCAATCTTTGGCTCTGATGTGATGTAAAATCTGCTTCTGAGATGGCATTACTGGAGGTCTGAGCTGGGTTCTTGTCTCAAATAAACTTAATTGAGATTCAAAGCTAGAAATTAGTTGCGCATCTACTTTTTCTTATCCATTCTGGAAATTACATATACAAATTTGCTGAATTTCAAAAATGAGAGAGATAAGAAATAATTAAATTCACTGTACACTGTCGAATTACAAGCCATATACACGCTAACAGTAATTACACACAACGCGGGCGCGGTTTATAACTTTGAACATAACCTCTCTTCAGAAAGCAAAACATAAAAATAACCCGTCGGGCACATCCAATAGATATACTTCATTGGCAGCATATTCAGTAATAATTTTCTCACACTCACGCAAATATCACTGATTTTATACGCATGCAGACCAATAAACATGATCATCCAGATGCGATCTTGCTATTCAATCAACTGTCTTCTCAGAGATAAAAACTACAGACAAGGACCATTTGTCCTCACAAAACATATGCAACCAATAATGCGTGTAGTTTAGCTGAGTGATTCCACCTTAGATGGACGTTCACAACGATACTGGTGAGCAAACGTGGAATGACTGTTTGCGCCCTAAACTACCTAGTAGCAAGATGACATCTTATAGGTTTTTTTTGACGTTTTATAGGTTTTTTACGTGATACCCATGCCGGCACGAACACATCTCGTCAATAGCGGCAGCCTCGAGATACTTGACGCTGTTCAGATGACTCTTCTCTAACGGAAAGTCTCAGGACTCGGATCTAGCTCTCTTCTTCCGCTACAACATCGAGCTTTGCTCCTCAGCTGTTATTCCTTTTATACGCTTTACAACTGAATGCATCATATTGGATTTGCGATTCGGAGATTAAACGCGGTGTTTTTTTTTTTTACCAAACGATATCAAACCGTTTTATTATATATATAGGATAATGTTGTGTGCTTTTCGACATATATCTGCATTCATATAGCATGGGCTTTTGAATAGATTCGTCAACCGACAGACTTACGACAGTCCGCGGTTCTATGACGTCACGATTGGAATCAAGAGCGATGGATAGAAACGCGAATATCCCTCAGCTTGACAGATGATGACATTTTTCGTGATGACATTGACATCTGCCGAGTTGTCTTCTATCAAAAATTTGGCTGCTTTTTGAAAGGAAAGGCAGTCACACATTTTCCTTTATCATAATGGAAATTGGGAAATAGTCCAATAACGTGATGGCTGGAAATTTGTCCAGAATTGTAGCTTTGCAGAAGCATGCCTTGGGTAAGTACCTGTTACTTTGTTACAACGAAATTAGCAATAAGAACAGTTTCAAAAAGTTACATAACGAATGACGATATTCGAAAATCGTAGCTATTTGGGACATACACTTAACATTTTTACTGTCTTAGAAATCAACTATTGACTAGGCTCAATTAACTGAATATATTCATGTTCTTATAAGTGCGGAGAATTTAAACAAATAACCTCTATTTATGGGCCATGTTGTGGTGTAACATTTGAGATCTATTTTACGTTTCTGCTTGTAGTAAGCAAAGCTGTCGTTACACCAGAAATGTTTTGAATTTATAGATGCCTCGTAGGCGTTACATAGACAGCCCTTGTTTTTTCTTGCATTTCGCAGAGAGCCGAATTGTTTTTATTTGTGTGAAGTCGAATGGCATTTTTAGCAGGTTCCTAAGTATTTTTACAGGATTCATAGACAGACAGACATTGAAGTGGAACCGAAAACCTATATTAATGGAATTACACAACACTATATTATCCATAATTTTGAATATAGATATAATCTCATTTCTTATTCAGGAGGTGCATCTATCCCTTGGTCTCGCTATGCCTTGATTGCTTGCTATTCGGCGGGGCCACCACCCCCAGGCACCCCACCTCCACAAACAAAGACCACATTTGGTAATTTGGCCGATGAAGACAGGATCTTCACCAACCTTTATGGTAGACATGACTGGAGACTGAAGGGGGCCATGAAGCGAGGAGACTGGTACAAGACCAAAGAAATACTAGTTAAAGGGGCAGATTGGATCATCAGTAAGTTGTTATCATATCTTGTAGAATAAAATTCATTCATTATTTGAACCAATTTTAATAAAGGCTCCTTCTTGGATTGCGGGTATACAAAAAAGGTGATTAGTTTTATGATTATTTATTTTTGAAGGAAACAAATTAGGTGTGGTTAGTAATAGCAAGTTTGTACATTTTGTCATTGAATGTCAAGGGAAGACAGAGGCAATGCTAGAACACAAATGAAAATAGATGAAGTTTTTGGCTTTTAGCCTTACTGGCCTTACAAGGTTGTTTTGATGCTAACACTAGCTGCTCCTTCAATAAGAAAGCTTTGGTGGTCATTTTTTACATAACACTGATACATCTCTATCTTTGTATACAATGTTGTACATCACTGTTTTGAAGAAATGGCCATCAATTTAAAATTTTCCAGAACTATTAGATGAACTATAGGTATATCTATTCTGACCACTAGTCATCCAAGTTATTCATGGAGGAGTAATTGTAATGTTACACAAAAAAGGGATTCCTTGAGCAAAGAGCACAAATTTTCTTGCGATTATGAGGTTGATTCTTGACATCACCGGTACTTGAAATGAGGTATTATCATTGCTTAAATAGAGTTCTTACAATCAAGGAATGGATCTTGGTTTAAAGAAATATGTCTTGGACACATATCAAAATCACAACCCTAAATTCAATATATACAAGTGACATATAAATTCGAACACCCAGTTTAAATGGTTTTATTTTAATAAAATTTTGTATAAGTACTTAATGAAGCATAATAAGTAAATGATAAAAATTTCAAAATGATTGCACTGCTTTAAAGCCCTTTGACCTTTAATAATGTGTGGATGCACCCTCATGTGCTACGCATTCTCCAACGCGCCTAGGCATGCTTCTGATCAGGTGGTCAATGTCCTCCTGTGGTATCTCATTCCAGGCAACCACCAACTCCTCTCGAAGTGCTTCTAGAGTCTGAGGAGGACGTTGCAAATTGAGCAATCTCCTACCCATCATATCCCACACATGCTCAATTGGGGATAAGTCGGGAGATCCTGGTGGCCATGGTAACAATGTGACATCATTATGTTGAAAGAAGTCTATTGTGACTCTTGCAATATGTGGTCGGGCATTATCTTGTTGGAAAGTTGGATCTGCTAGGGTGTCAAGATAGGGTAAAAGATGGGGTTCTAGAACTTCGTGGATATAACGCTGCGCGTTCATGTTACCTCTGATGAAGATTAAAGGTGACCTGGAACCATAAGCTATAGCACCCCAAACCATAACTCCAACAGTGTGATGAACATGTCTTTCAACAAAAAACTGTGGATTCCTCCTTTCACCACGTCGCCTTCTAACCCTGGCACGACCATCGTGCATGCCTAAACAAAATCGAGACTCGTCACTAAAGACAATACTGTTCCATTCCTGATCCCAGAGTGACCGTTGTCTGCACCACTCAAGGCGATTACGTCGGTGTTCTCGAGTTAAAGGGAGGACCCAGTGTGGCCGGTATAAAAACAAGCCAAAACTTCTCATTCGTCGGTAAACACTTCGCATGCCAATAGGTCTTCCGTGTTCTGCAAACCATTCATTTGCAATGGACCTGGTAGTGGAGAAACGGTCCCTTAAGGCCAATAATCTTAGGCGGCGATCTTCACGGTCTGTTGTTCTACGGCGGCGTCCAGTGCCCCTTGCTCTTTGCGTACGGCCTTCTCTAAGTCATGCCTGACAACACCTAACCACAGCGTCTACACTTCTTTGCACTCTAACTACAATTGCCCGAAAATAAAGTCCAGCTTCCCGAGGTCCCATTATACGGCCCCTATCAAACTCACTAAGTTGACGAAATCGTACAGGTCTCCGTACTCTAGGCATCGTAACCGATCGTAAAGGATGTCAAGAACCAAAATCCGCCAACGTTCATTCTTTACTGCGGCTGAAATATTCATTTTTAGAGCGTTAGTGAATTAAAAAAAAGCAGTATAAAACCGGAATGTCCAACTGATAAGGCTGAAAATTTTTTCACTTGTTATTTACAGTAAGATAAATACATTCACCAACTTTTATTAAAATAAAACCATTTAAACTGAGTGTTCGGATTTATATGTCACTTAGTATAGATAGACAATGGACTTCTTTTAGGGTGGGACCTGACTTCTTACAGACACATCTGTGCATTAGCCTTATTCAGTTGTTTTGAGAGGCTCATTTTGAAATAACCAAATATTTTGGTGCATTTACTTCCTAAGCAAAGTCCTATCCTATAGTGTTTCAGAGAACGTTGCAGATCAGCAAACTTTTTCTCTGATCATAGTATTCTTTATACTTGGTAGTTCTTTCTCTCCACTCTGGTGATCTGCAAGTATTGTTTTTCGTTTTTGACTCCCATGTTTTTCGTCCACATGAATAAATTTCTTTCTAACAGGTAAAACTAATTGCAGATATCATTTGTGTGTATTGATAGAAACAAAACTATTTCTATAGGAATATTTGTAGCAGACTGAACATGACTTGCAATCTGATGTAAGGCTTGGGAAGATGATGGAATCAAATGTTCCTAAGACTTAGGATTACATTCTACATCATATAACCCGAATGACCCTACTGCTTACCAATATACCAATCAAATTTGTTCTTCCAGATTCTCATCCATTTTATTCTAAAACCACATCAAATTTTGATTCCTTGATAAAATTATTAATAAAACATGTACAGCAAATTTTGTCATTTGAACGAATATTCAGACTAGTTTAGAATTATCAATAAAGATAAAACAATGAAACTGTTTTTGATTTTTACATATACTAAGTGACATATAAATCCGAACACCCAGTTTAAATAGTTTTATTTTAATAAAAGTTGGTGAATGTATTTATCTTACTGTAAATAACAAGTGAAAAAATTTTCAGCCTTATCAGTTGGACATTCCGGTTTTTATACTGCTTTTTTTTTAATTCACTAACGCTCTAAAAATGAATATTTCAGCCGCAGTAAAGAATCAACGTTGGCGGAATTTGGTTCTTGACATCCTTTACGATCGGTTACGATGCCTAGAGTACGGAGACCTGTACGATTTCGTGAACTTAGTGAGTTTGATAGGGGCCGTATAGTGGGACTTCGGGAAGCTGGACTTTCTTTTCGGGCAATTGCAGTTAGAGTGCAAAGAAGTGTAGACACTGTGGTTAGGTGTTGTCAGGCATGGCTTCGAGAAGGCCGTACGCAAAGAGCAAGGGGCACTGGACGCCGCCGTAGAACAACAGACCATGAAGATCGCCGCCTAAGATTATTGGCTTTAAGGGACCGTTTCTCCACTACCAGGTCCATTGCAAATGAATGGTTTGCAGAACACGGAAGACCTATTGGCATGCGAAGTGTTTACCGACGTATGAGAAGTTTTGGCTTGTTTTCATACCGGCCACACTGGGTCCTCCCTTTAACTCGAGAATACCGACGTAATCGCCTTGAGTGGTGCAGACAACGGTCACTCTGGGATCAGGAATGGAACAGTATTGTCTTTAGTGACGAGTCTCGATTTTGTTTAGGCATGCACGATGGTCGTGCCAGGATTAGAAGGCGACGTGGTGAAAGGAGGAATCCACAGTTTTTTGTTGAAAGACATGTTCATCACACTGTTGGAGTTATGGTTTGGGGTGCTATAGCTTATGGTTCCAGGTGACCTTTAATCTTCATCAGAGGTAACATGAACTCGCAGCGTTATATCCACGAAGTTCTAGAATCCCATCTTTTACCCTATCTTGACACCCTGGCAGATCCAACTTTCCAACAAGATAATGCCCGACCACATGTTGCAAGAGTCACAATAGACTTCTTTCAACATAATGATGTCACATTGTTACCATGGCCACCAAGATCTCCCGACTTATCCCCAATTGAGCACGTGTGGGATATGATGGGTAGGAGATTGCTCAATTTGCAACGTCCTCCTCAGACTCTAAAAGAACTTCGAGAGGAGTTGGTGGTTGCCTGGAATGAGATACCACAGGAGGACATTGACCACCTGATCAGAAGCATGCCTAGGCGCGTTGGAGAATGCGTAGCACATCAGGGTGCATCCACACATTATTAAAGGTCAAAGGCTTTAAAGCAGTGCAATCATTTTGAAATTTTTATCATTTACTTATTATGCTTCATTAAGTACTTATACAAAATTTTATTAAAATAAAACCATTTAAACTGGGTGTTCGGATTTATATGTCACTTAGTATAGTTTGAATTTCCTAATTTTCCAAAATAGATGAAGTGAAAACGTCTGGATTGAGGGGGCGCGGCGGGGCAGGTTTCCCCTCTGGCATGAAATGGTCGTTCATGAACAAACCTGGTGATGGTAGACCGAAGTACCTGGTGGTGAACGCCGACGAGGGAGAACCAGGTACCTGCAAGGACAGAGAGATCATGCGTCATGATCCGCACAAATTGGTAGAGGGATGTCTGATCGCTGGCAAGGCCATGGGGGCTAAGGCTGCCTACATTTACATCCGCGGCGAGTTCTACAATGAGGCGTCCAACATGCAAGTGGCCATTGCTGAGGTGAATAATCACTTAGTTAATGACGTTATTATATTATATTTAACAGAGGTGATAGCATGGCATGACAGCTGTTTGAATCAAGTCCATCAGCGGTTCAAGTTTATTTGTGAGGGGATGGTTGTTAACATTCTTGATTGGCAAAGAATCAACTATATTTCTTATACATATCTCTTAAATATCCAGCTGTCAGACTTACGTTCAGATCATTTTCCCATCTGAATATTGTAGAGCGACCTTGGCATACTATCATCTTAGATAAGGAATAAAATCATTTTAACATGGAATAACTTTTATCTATTTTCGTTGTAGGCATACCAAGCGGGCTTTCTAGGCAAAAATGCTTGCGGTTCTGGCTACGACTTCGATGTGTTCATGCACAGAGGTGCCGGCGCATATATATGCGGCGAAGAAACAGCTCTCATCGAATCGCTAGAGGGCAAGCAGGGCAAACCAAGGCTAAAGCCTCCGTTCCCTGCTGACGTCGGTGTGTTCGGGTGTCCCACTACCGTCACCAATGTGGAGACTGTTGCAGTCGCTCCAGTGAGTCTTACTTCTCGCATTGCTTTTCATACTTAAATCATTAGTGACCTTTTCTAGTTTTGCCACTGTTATTATTTCAAAAAATCCCTACTTTTTTTTAAGTTTTATTCAACGGTCATTTGCCTTGCAGACAATCTGTCGTCGTGGTGGCGTGTGGTTCGCCTCGTTCGGACGCACCCGCAACTCCGGCACGAAGCTGTTCAACATCAGCGGTCACGTGAACAGGCCTTGCACGGTCGAGGAAGAGATGAGCATCCCGCTCAAGGAGTTGATCGAAAGGCATGCCGGAGGTGTACAGGGTGGATGGGACAATCTGCTCGCTATCATCCCCGGCGGTTCGTCCACTCCGTTAATACCGAAGAAGTGAGTATCATGAAACGGAGGACGTCGTTCCCTCCTTACCTCACGGGAATGCGATTTAAATATTTGTTCACCATCGACTGCCACGAGTCCTGTAAGGATTTCTTCCTTCTCGCAGGAAAGGATGACGGTGTATGAGCTGCTTGCGACAATAATTTGTTTTCAGGGTTTGTGAGGAGGCCATAATGGACTTCGATGGATTGGTGGCAGTCCAAACGAGTCTTGGTACGGCTGCGATAATCGTGATGAACCAGCAGACGGATGTGATCAAAGCTATTGCCAGATTGATCATGTTCTACAAACATGAATCTTGTGGGCAATGCACTCCATGCAGGGAAGGTGCGTATTCTTTTACAATTCGTTTGAGATATTTTTGGCTTCCTGGAATATCCGTATTTTCCTTTTGAGGTTTAAATAAACAGTTTATTTGCAAGTGACATATTTGTGTTAAATTTTGACTGTTGACCGAGAACCGTGTTTAACGTTGTTAAATTCATTTCGTCTAGCTTTTAGTCATGATCATTTGCAGATCGGTAGGTTAGTTTTTTCTGATTTTGGATCAAGACACAACGGATCGAATTCCCTTCCTCATCGCGCTTCCGTTAAGTGGTTAAGAACCACCACTGGTATTGTATTTTTGAAAACGTAATTTCTTTGTCTATAAAAATCAATAAAGACGGTTTATTATTATTTTAAGCAAAAACTAAAAGGTATCTTTAAAAGAAATTGTTTTTATAATATCCAAAAATTGTTAATTTCTGACATAATTTTGTGATCACTTTTTAACACTTTGTTATTATTCCACCCTCATTTTACTACTTATTATGTATACAGTGAAATCTTTGGACAGACACTAGCTTGACTGACTAAAAGAGTCAGTTCAAGAGGTGTGTCCGTATACAAGAAATACAACAAAACTATGTTTTTAATGAAAACTGAATACTTATATTAAAGAAACTGGGACATTTGAAACGTATATGTACAAATATTTCACTTTAGTACAAATTCTTCTTACTCCTGACCAGTGTCAGCATGTACAGTAGTGGACAAAAGTTTGGAAAGGTTCTTAGTAGTTTTTAAAAAGTTTTTTTTATTAAGCACTACTTTTTTTCTCATATAGTTTGCTTGCAGTCTTGAGGATAAAAATGACGATTTGTGTTTGCTGTGACTAGCATTAAATTACCTTCATATTATTTTATGACCGAAAATGTGACGACAAAAGTATGGAACCATATTTTTTATCACAAAATTAAATACAATAACTCTACAAAAATATTAAACAAATACTGTTTAGCTAATATTTTGTAGCATAGCCTTTAGCACTCAACACTGCCTGGCATCTGCTGCTCATAGAAGACACCAATTTTTTACAGACATCTGTTGGGATATTTTTCCAAATATTTTATACATAATCAAATAAATCGTTCCTATTTTCTTGTCAGTTGTATTTTTACATGCTCCCAGAGATGTTCTATAGGGGATTGCGAAGCCCATATAAGAACATTAACATTTTTTAGTCTTAACCAGTCCTTTACGAATTTTGAGGTATGCTTGGGGTTATTATCTTGCTGGAATGTCCATCGTAAAGGCATTTCTTCTTCAGTAAAATGGAGCATGTGTTCACTAAGGATATATTTGTAATGTTTTCTATTTTCCCCAACAATTTTAACAATTGAACCTGTTCCAGAACTAGAAAAACAGCCCCAAACCATGATGTTGCCTACACTGTGCTCAACTGTTGGCGACTAATACTTTTGTCGAATCTTTTTCGTATTATAAACAAGATTAATTTGCTTTCATCGCGGCATAAAACTGTATTCCTTTGTCGTGTTGTCCAAGTTAGATGAGTTTTAGCAAATTCAACCTGAGCAATACGATTTTTTTTAAAATGAGAAGCTTTTGCACTGGACGCCTACCAAAATCGACCAAGCAGACAGAAAGATTGTCGGCACCCTCTTTTACAATACTTTTGAAAATCTGTGTGACTGGCATTCGAGGATCTGGGACAAACGTTTAATGTAGCGATCCAAAACATCATCGGTTTTTCGTTCTTCCGCACCTGGGCCGCGTTGCTGTTGATTCTTGATATTTACTAATAATTAATCTTTGAGAAATGTCAACATATCTGACACCACTTCTGAATAATTCAATTACCTTGTCTCTTGAATCTTTAAAAATTCTTTTACTTTTGCCATCTTCACTGATGTTAATACAGCAGACGCTCGATAATGTAAACTAATTTAATCCAAGTGTGGTTCACATTATCGAAATGTTTACATTAGCGAACGTGATTTATATAATATTTGATTTATTAAAAGAAACGTTTAATACATACTATTTATAACAAAATAAACAAATATTCTAACAGCGATAAGTATTTTTTTAATTAGAATAAAAATAATTAACAATTTTTGTCTGCGTAAATTTTCGCTTAGCATTGTCTTCCAATGCCTGCGCCCGTAATTTACGAAGAACTAAAATATCCGTGTATGAAACTTCTTTTCTTTCAGCCCAATCTAAAGCTTGGTTAAAAACTTGTATAGCTTGCGCGTCAGTCACTACACTTCTGACTTCAATGGGATCGTTCTCATCATCCTCACTGTCCATATCCTCCTCCTTATCAGCATCATTCGTCTGCTTATCTTCGTTCCATAAATTAATATCAGCAGGAGTACAAACAATGTTGGGATTCACTGTTTTCAATAAATCAACAACATCCAATGACACACTAATAACATTATCATTATTGGATCGCAAACGTTCTCTAATTACGCTTAAGGGGACATCATCTTCTTCATCATGTTCATTATTGGTACAAAAGAGATTGTTCCAACATTTTTGAATAGTTTGCTGGTTAAGTTCATTCCAGGCCATATGTAAATCTAAAACAGCTTCTCGTAATGTTACTTTTTAAAGCCTCAGATAAGTTTTCAGGATTCTTTGATAAGACAGACTAAAGTAGAAACTTCCTATAGTATAGTTTGGTAAGTCTTATTATATTCTGGTCCATCGGTTGACTTAACGGTGTTACGTTGGGCGGCATGTACATGACGAAAATTGACCCATCCCTGCTCCTCAGTTGTTGCTCGGGAGGATGACTTTATCCAATAGTAACAACGCTTTTATTGGAAGCTTCTGTTTTTTTAGGAAACCTTTTACCTACAAATTGAAAACACATCTTCAAATTATGAATAGAGCATTTGTGATAATTGATTGTCATACCTGAGGGACAAAGCACCTGTGGAACCATTTCAGTCATCCAAGCAGTTTATGAACAGTCATAATCAACAGGGATATTAGCATTTTTAAATGAGCGCGGATTTTTTGCTTTCCCAATTACCAGTGGCTTTATTTTGTGTAAACCATTAGCATTAGTGCAGGCTAGAAACGTTATTCGTTGTTTCTCCGGCTTTCTTCCCGGGGCAGATTTTTCAAATGATGCAGCATAGGTTTTCTCTGGTAACATTTTCCAATAAAGGCCACTTTCATCTGGTTGTAAATTTGTTCCATTCTTAAATCTAGCTCGGTAATTGTTTTTACCAATTTTTCTTTGAATGGTTGCACTAATTGTGGTTGTGCTGATAATTTTTCACCAGATATAGACAGCAGTAGAATTCCATATCTTGTTTTGAATCATTGTAGCCAGCCATCACTAGCTACGAAATTTTCAGTTTCTTTCAGTTTTTCATTTAACAGTCTCGCTCTCTGTTTAAGTACTCAACTGGGACATGATTTTCCCGTTGTTTTAAAAACCACTTATACAGGGAATTTTCCATTTTAGGTGCCTTCGCATTTTTTAAAGTTTTTCTTTTTCCCGGACCTCCAAATGTATTGCCCGTTCTTTGTAAAATTTGAGTTTTCATACGCTTAATTTTACAGATTGTTGCTTTCGAAACTCCATATTTTTTTGCTAACTGTGTCACTCCCGCACCTAGTTCGTCTATGACTTTCACTTTCTCACTCAACTTTAAACACTTTCTTTTATAGGATGTCGTAAAATATATTAACGCGTGCAATGTATTCACTTAAGTTCAAAAATGAAATACATACGTACGTATAAACGTATCCTAAACGATCATACGACTGACCGAGTTTGTCGTATTTTATCGCAGAGGTGAATCCCCTACACTCTATATCATAAATCGGGGACTCCCCGACGCCCGACATAAATCATCGAGGCTTCAGCATTTTACCGTCGCGCTGTTTCCGTGCGCCGAGAGTTGTTTACGTTATCGAGCGTACACATTGTTTACGTTATCGCGCGTTCCTATAGAACGAAGTTTGTGTTTACATTAGCGCAAGTTTTCATTATCCCGTGTTTACGTTATCGAGCGTCTGCTGTATTTACCGCACGCAGTATCAGAGTATAGCAGAACGAGTACATACGGCAAAAGTGAAATGTTTCCATACCTTTCTCGTTACAAAAACTGTGGTATTTAAAAAAAAAAAACGCGTGTTTTTATTTTCAGAGAATTTGAATATTGATAAGATAAAACTTGTATTAGTACGGGAGACAAAGGTAGACTTTAATATTTATATTATCTGTTTCTTCACAATTTTAATTTAGGTATATGAAGCAGTTCATAATAATGTCAATATTTGTTTCCAATTTTTTGTCCGCTACTGTATGTGTAGTTAAAAACCAATAAATCTATCTATCTATATATCTAATATATTCTCGACCTTAAGGTGTGAGCTGGATGAACAAGATGATGTACCGCTTCGTGGACGGCAACGCTCGTCCCGACGAGATCGACATGATCTGGGAGATCAGCAAGCAGATCGAGGGACACTCGATCTGCGCTTTGGGCGACGGTGCCGCATGGCCCGTGCAGGGTCTGATCAGGCACTTCCGGCCTCTGATGGAGGAACGGATGCAGCAGTTCCACGCCAATCAGAAAGGACGGGCTGCCTGCTGAGCAGGTAGTACGGGTATATTTCAGACAACGTAAGGTGAGTGAGGTGATAAGTATGAATGCATGCTGATAAAAATGTTATAATACTTCGTTTGAAATACGTTTACTATAGGGTGGTCCAATAGGGACGCAGGAAAGTAAACGTCAATTTGACATAGACGGCATCTTTGTTTTCTGTCACCGACATGTCATTTTGTTAGTTGAATGTTTACCATTGATCGCTATGGAGTCGTATTCGATTGAAGACCGCATCAAGAGCACTACAAAAATGGTGCAAAAATAAAAAACACGTTTCGCGCGCTTCGTGAACATTTCGGTCGCAACAACCGCCCAAACGAAACAACCATCGGTCGTCTGGTGCGTAAATTCGAGGCAACAGGTTCTGTGGCAAATCTGCCAGGCTCTGGCCGGCCAAGGAGCGTTCGCACACCGGAAAATATTGCTGTTGTGAAGGAGAGTGTGAGAGACGATCCGAAACAACAACGCGTCGATCCCAAGAATTGGGCATTTCGAGAACCAGTTTGCTCCGCATTCTCCACAAGGATTTGAATGTACACGCCTACAAGATCCAATTGACGCAAGAGCTGCGTCGGGCTGACCATTTTTCGCGCCGAACGTTCTCAGATTGGCTCCTTGAACACCGCCAAAGTGATGCCAATTTTTCATCAAAAATCATGTTCAGCGACGAAGCGCATTTCACTTTGAATGGGACGGTAAACAAGCAAAACTGCCGCATCTGGGCGAACGAAAATCCCCGTGAGTATCAAGAGCAGCCGATGCATCCTCAAAAAGTGACTGTGTGGTGTGCATTGTGGTCAAAAGGCATCATCGGACCTTACTTTTTCGAAAATGCGGCCGGGGACGCCGTTACCGTCAATTCTGAGCGATATCACGTGATGATAGAGGACTATTTTTTGCCGCAACTTGAAGGAATGGATATGGACGATGTTTATTTCCAACAAGACGGTGCAACATGCCCCACAACCAACGTCAATATCCATCGATTGCAGTCCTTCTTCGGTGATCGCGTGATTTCGCGCAGAGGAAATGTGCCATGGCCACCAAAATCGTGCGATTTGACTCCCTTGGACTTCTTTTTATGGGGATATTTGAAAAGCAAATTCTACGTCAACAAACCAGCCACCCTCCAAGGACTCAAAAACAACATCATTGCCGAGATAAATGCCATAGAACCGACCATGTTGCAAAATGCCAAACCATCGCGTGGACGTTTGTAAATCCAATCGTGGTGAACATTTGAGCGATATTATTTTTCATACATAAATGGTATAAATGAACCTTCAAAATAAAGTACCCAACTTGATTTGAATATCAATCTTTCTTCTTTTAACCCCATATATTATGATTTATAATAATAATATTTATCGGTGTTTTATATGCAATACTGTACCCAAGAGCCAGACTAGGTGTCAAGTCCATTTTTTGTCAAAAATGTGTTTAATATGTTACAGCTTATGGTAGTATTGTGAATTTTCATTTTCTACATGCAGCGTCCATTTATCTGTAATAATAAGGAAATTACGACTTATCAACTCATGTCAAGTCGCATACATTTAAAAATATTTCAAATACAATTATCTCAAAACTACTTATTTGGACTTAACCTAGTCTGGCTCTGAGGTACACAAGTTTTTTACACAAGTCGGAAGAAATATTTTTAAATTTTTAGCTCACTTTGTCAATTTATTTTTTATTTTAGTATACTAAGTGACATATAAATCCGAACACCCAGTTTAAATGGTTTTATTTTAATAAAAGTTGGTGAATGTATTTATCTTACTGTAAATAACAAGTGAAAAAATTTTCAGCCTTATCAGTTGGACATTCCGGTTTTTATACTGCTTTTTTTTAATTCACTAACGCTCTAAAAATAAATATTTCAGCCGCAGTAAAGAATCAACGTTGGCGGTTTTTGGTTCTTGACATCCTTTACGATCGGTTACGATGCCTAGAGTACGGAGACCTGTACGATTTCGTCAACTTAGTGAGTTTGATAGGGGTCGTATAGTGGGACTTCGGGAAGCTGGACTTTCTTTTCGGGCAATTTGCAGTTAGAGTGCAAAGAAGTGTAGACACTGTGGTTAGGTGTTGTCAGGCATGGCTTCGAGAAGGCCGTACGCAAAGAGCAAGGGGCACTGGACGCCGCCGTAGAACAACAGACCGTGAAGATCGCCGCCTAAGATTATTGGCCTTAAGGGACCGTTTCTCCACTACCAGGTCCATTGCAAATGAATGGTTTGCAGAACACGGAAGACCTATTGGCATGCGAAGTGTTTACCGACGAATGAGAAGTTTTGGCTTGTTTTCATACCGGCCACACTGGGTCCTCCCTTTAACTCGAGAACACCGACGTAATCGCCTTGAGTGGTGCAGACAACGGTCACTCTGGGATCAGGAATGGAACAGTATTGTCTTTAGTGACGAGTCTCGATTTTGTTTAGGCATGCACGATGGTCGTGCCAGGGTTAGAAGGCGACGAGGTGAAAGGAGGAATCCACAGTTTTTTGTTGAAAGACATGTTCATCACACTGTTGGAGTTATGGTTTGGGGTGCTATAGCTTATGGTTCCAGGTCACCTTTAATCTTCATCAGAGGTAACATCTTTTACCCTATCTTGACACCCTGGCAGATCCAACTTTCCAACAAGATAATGCCCGACCACATGTTGCAAGAGTCACAATAGACTTCTTTCGACATAATGATGTCACATTGTTACCATGGCCACCAAGATCTCCCGACTTATCCCCAATTTAGCACTTGTGGGATATGATGGGTAGGAGATTGCTCAATTTGCAACGTCCTCCTCAGACTCTAGTAGCACTTCGAGAGGAGTTGGTGGTTGCCTGGAATGAGATACCACAGGAGGACATTGACCACCTGATCAGAAGCATGCCTAGGCGCGTTGGAGAATGCGTAGCACATCAGGGTGCATCCACACATTATTAAAGGTCAAGGGGCTTTAAAGCAGTGCAATCATTTTGAAATTTTTATCATTTACTTATTATGCTTCATCAAGTACTTATACAAAATTGTATTAAAATAAAACCATTTAAACTGGGTGTTCGGATTTATATGTCACTTAGTATAGTTTTTTAACTTTTTCTATTCATGATGTCAAATAACTGGTTTGGAAATGTCTTTATAATTTTTATATATTCCATTAATAGGACTCCATAAAACTTCTTACTTTATCCGTATGATAAAATTTCGATAGAAGTAAATCACATAATGATAAATCATTGGATTGAAAATGACGTCACTTTGTGATTATGTTTCCTTCATCAAGCCCTCTCATTTGATACCCATATCATCGGGAATAAGAAAAATATAAATCGTCTTTTTCGGTTGCACCATATCGGATTTAGAATGACGTACAAAAATAAACTAACTTTTAGAAAAAACTAGATAATGTCCGAACATTTGTTAGGGCTCGTATTTGATCACAAAGCATGTGGTTACGTCTTTATCAAAATCATTGCATCCAGATTTTTCATTATTCCAGGTAGATGAGGGCACTGGGGTACTGAAGAGAACAGCTTGCTAGGATGTTTCATTTACGTTCTGTGCATATCCTTGATTTTTATAGGTTAAGATAGATTTATATCACCCATTCAAAGAATGATTTATATTTTATTGAATAATAGTTCTAGTTCCTAGTTTTAGAGTGATATAAATGTGCTAAAAATGAAGTTACATATGACTATATTTTTAGCATACATTTTTACAAAAAACCTGTCAGATGTTTGTTTGGTTTAATAATGCTTTGCTTTTACATTTTCCACTTCCCGGATTGTTTCCGACATTCGTCTGAATTATATCGTTATCAATATCAGTTCTTTCTCTGTTACCAAGCAAGTTACAGTAAATGCCAGAGTTAAAGAATGGGCTCTAAGAGTAAATGATGAACATACGACTAATACATTATTTTAAACAGTTAGTATTTTGCTGTTTTAAAATAACGTAATGCATTTCAACGTTTAATATTCGCTACCTTTTTTAACTTTGGTGCCAGCGTAATGTGCTTGGTGTACTTCCTTTACAAATATTATGTAATTGTCGAACTTAGATATACATTTAGGGTAATATTAAATATAAGTGTGAGGTATATTGACTTACTAAAGAAAGGAGAAGGAGTATAACAATATTATGGTTCGAAAATTCGAACAAGAATAGTATTGATAGGTTTTTGTTGATTCATTTGTTCCGTCTAAGCAAGATATGTTTGATGGACTATATGTATGTCTTCTTGTACTTTTAGTTATTATAGTGTCTTTGTTGAATAAACTGTTTAACATGTTCGTAGTTGTTTTTATTATGGCGTTTATGTGGCCGTCAGTGCCATAACAAGGGTATCAATATCCTGTCTACAGTATATGTATTCAGATAAGAGATAGACCAGATGTAAACAAAAGGTTCGTGTGATTTTCACGCTAACGCCGCTGTGTCGACGTAAAACAGGAGCCCTCATTGGTCAATTCGCAATTAAATGCCTATGCCGAGCGGCAGAGCAGTCGTATCAAGGCAGAGTCACATTCAGGTTCAGACGTGTTACGTATGTCGTGTGCATCATTGCAATTTGATATTTCTTTGGACGTTTTCGTTTGTTATCTTATTAAGTTGTTGAGTTTGTCGTTGTTATTGTTATACCTTGTTATTGATTGTTATTGTTATCAACTGCTTGCGCAAAATGCCCAGTAGTACAGATACTGCCGATGAAGTTGTAAACTCCTGTAGTCCACCTAGGAAACGCTCTAAAAAAAGACACCTGAGTGCAGAAATGAAAGAGGTCATTTTGAATATATATAAGATCGAGCGCGAGGAGAACGAGGCATCAACCATCAAAGAAATTGTTGCGAAGGTTTCTCACAAAGTTGGGGTGTGTCGCGCATCAGTGTTTAATGTGTTAAGACAATACAAAAAAAATCATACCTTTTCTGAGCCAATGACCAGTAAACATCGCAAAAGTATTGTTAAATCATTGGATGAAGCTGATAAGCATGCGATTAGGAGGAAAGTGCATGAATTCTTCTTTAGGAATGAAATACCTACTATAGATAAAGTACTGCAAGAGGTAAATGGAGATACAACGTTGCCAAATTTCAAACGATCAACTTTCCATGCGTTACTGAAGCATTTAAATTTCAAATGGAAAAACGGGGTCGTAATAGTTTCCTACTGGATAGAGAAGAAATTGTGCTATGGAGGAGGGATTATTTAACAAAAATTGGGAAATATAGAAATCAAAACAGGAAGATTTATTACCTTGATGAAACGTGGGTAAACGCAGGACACACTACAAGTAAAGTATGGGTTGATGATTCTGTAACTTCATCCAGGAGGGCCTTTCTAGATGGACTGTCCACCGGATTAAAAAATCCAGCAGGTAAATACGAGTAATAGACAACAATCGGATGTTTTTCAAACCTTGGGAACAAGGTTCTAAACATTAATTCCAGGGGGCAGATAAAACATATTACAAGTAACAAAACTTTTATAACTTTCGATAAAATGCGTGGATGTTTTATTGTCATTTTCATTTGTTAGAACTTTTTTAAGCCATGTTTTTATGTGTTTTCGATATTTCAATAATTTTTTAATATAATCTTAAAATATGTCGAATATTATAAACTTAAAAAAAGTTACTAAGTTTTATATTGTGTACCGTTCCTAATATTTCTAATCATTTTAATTCATACTTTAAGCTTTATAAAGTTATAATTTGTTAATATTAATATTTGCGCGTATTTCAGGTTCCTGATCATTCATTTTTTAAAGGTTTATAACTTTAAATTAAATTGTGAAGCGCTGAGTAATCATACGACGTTCAATATTCTTTCTTTCGATATGACTAAATAATCCCAATTATAGCAATCTGATACGTCTCAATGTTTTTTCGTTGAATGTGATGAAAACATTTGAAAAAGGTTCGCTTATTGAAATAAATCTACACCAGTACTTCGATTTCCAGGTAAAGGGAAAAGGCTCATTATCTGCCATATTGGCAGTGAGGATGGATGTGTTGTTGACGGTCTGTGGTGCTTTGAGTCTAAGAAAACTGGAGATTACCACGAGGAAATGAATGGCGAATCGTTTGAACAGTGGTTTTCAAAAATTTTACCGAACTTAGAGGAAAACGTAGTAATTGTGTTGGATAATGCGCCTTATCATTCTCGAAGAATGGAGAAGGTCCCAACAACGGCTTCAAGGAAAGTTGATGTTCAAAATTGACTCCGCTCGCAAAATATCAACTTTGAAGAAGTTATGCTGAAAGTACAATTATTAAGAATTGTCAAGGATCACAAGGCGGAATATCAAAAATACGCCATTGACGAAATGGCAGCAAGTCAAAATAAAACTGTGCTCCGTTTACCTCCATACCATTGCGAGCTCAATCCCATTGAGCTCATATGGGCAGAGGTTAAAAATTATATAGCTAAGCACAATACAACTTTTAAATTTTGTGACCTCAAAGGACTTTTCAAAGAAGCACTAGAATTAATAACAGCGCAAAAATGGGAAAACTGTATTAAGCACGTGAAAGACAAAGTTGAAAAGAGAATGTGGGAACTGGACAATATTTTAGAGGAACAAGTCGAGCCATTCATTATTGACGTTGGTGCTTCAGGCAGTAGCGATGATGAAAGGTCATCAAGCTCATCTTTCCAATAAAAGATGTCGTTCATCAAATTCGGTAAGTTATAAGTAATTATAAAGCTACTGTATTTTTTAATTAATTATTGACATTTTTGAACCCATTTTGGCAAAACCTATTCAAGAATCTACTTTCTGACAATGTTCAACCATGCACATTTTTTTTACGTTTTGAACGTTTTAATTTGGTTACATATTTACCTAGAAATCAAAAAATATACTAATCAATATTCTAAAAGCAATTTTAAGAGATATACGATTATTTTTAATTTAGGCTAGTTTAAACGCCATTTTGAGATTATATTCGACTGTATTTCACCAAACATCAGGCGGCATCCGAAGCTGGAAATCTGAGCGAAAATTTTGAAACCCTTATGTATATTTACATCATTATATATTTCTTACCCCACCCCCACATGATCCTATATCCATCACCAATCGTATACACATCGAATTGTGCTAATTTACTACAAAGTTACGCAAAGCAGCATCTACTATCTAAAATATGTACTGCGTGACTCTTAATACGTCACTGCCGAATGTTACAGCGTTCGATGATCACGTGGTCTTGTTTATGTCCGGTCTATCTCTTATCTGAATATACTGTAGAGCAGGTCTTGATAGGTGGTGGCCATGGAAGATGTGAGTAACTCATTTTTTTAAATTAATTTTAGCTAATGATTATCCAAAAAATCATTTTCACGGATTTTGCTAATTCACTTTTTGGTCAATATTTTTACCCCAACTCATCAACCTTCTTCAACTTCTTGATAATTTAAGAATTATTGCTGACTCGGCAATAAAATTCGTCTAGCATTGTTTTGTAACGAATTGCAATAAGAAAAGTAAAAATCCGTATATAGGTAATAATGTCAATTAACAAATGCATTGACATATTTTGTTTGTTTTTTGTTTAAGATTTATTTAGCATGATTGCTACAATTACATTCTTCTAAAAAACTAAACAATTACATAACATACAGACATTTAGAAAAAAAAACAATTGCATCTCTAAGAATTTCCATTGTCCATGAAATATTCCTTTAATTTTCTTTTAAATATCTTTAAATTACAAGTAGACTTTATGTCATTATTTAGTTTATCAAATTCAATTCTGAAATATTGATTTGCTATACTACAACTATTTAAAACTGTAATGACTCATACGCGTGATCAACACGTGATCAGAGCTCAATCCCGGCTTCCTTCCAGTACAGCCGTATAGCGTACGACATATGTCGTTTCTGTGGCTTTGCGGTGGTCAACAGCACAGACAGAGATGGAAATAAAGGCTGATTGTTCTCCGCCGGTAGAACCAATGAAATCAAAGACGCGCCTCGACCGGCAGACTCATGGGCGTCGGCAACGCATTGGAACGTGTTTCGTTGAGCGATCGCATATTGTGTGTTTTTATAAGAATTGTTGTGTGATTGTTATTGTTGTGGTTTCTGTGGTTACTCTTTTGCTTATACTTAACCATGGAGAGTACAAATGGCACGAGTGGAAGTACTGAAAGCCAGGGAACAAGTAGACGGCTTCGTAAAGCACTGAAGAGGGACGCGAAAGAAATCGTGCTCAACGTGTTCAATTATCTGAACAGAACTATGTCGCAGGGAGATGCACTCGCGCATTGTGAAAGCATGACAGGCGTTCCAGAGTGGACCATTCGCAGGGTGGTGCATGAAAAGAAGAAAACTGGAGCTACTACTGATCCAAAGTTTAATTTGAAGGGACGAAAGGCCGTTCTTCTTTAGGAATGAGATACCAACCCTCAAGGCTGTACATGCAGCGATCAAGGAAAATGAAATTATACCCCAAATGAGCATCGAGGTAATGAGGAAATCCCTGCACGAAATTAATTTTCGTTACGAAACGCGTAAGTCAGTATTGATAGAGAGACCTGAAATAGTCGCCTGGCGTCGAAAATACCTACGCGAAATGATTGAATATAGGCGACAAAGCAGAAAAATCTATTATTTGGACGAGACATGTGTAAATGCAGGTCACACAGTTAAAAAAACCTGGATAGACAAAAACGTAGTGAGTAACCGACAAGCAAGCATTGAAGGTTTGTCAACAGGTCTTCGTGGACCGTCAGGGAAAGGTCAAAGATTGATCGTAACTCATATTGGTAGCGATAGTGGCTTTTTAGAAGAGTGTGACTTGATTTTCGTCTCTAAGAAAGGAGGTGATTACCATGACGAAATGAATGCCAGCTGCTTCGAGAGCTGGTTTCAAGGGATGCTTCTGCGAGTTGAGCCCAACTCTGTGATCGTCATGGATAATGCTTCCACCATAGTCGTCGAGCCGAACGTGTACCGACTATGGGATCTCGAAAAAGTGACATGCAGCAATGGTTGCGCGAAAAAGGAATCCCGTTTGACGATTCATGTGTGAAAGCGGAATTGTATGAAAAAATTAAACAGCACAAACAATAGAGCTCATCTGGGCTCAAGTGAAGGGTTATATTGCGCGCCATAACACAACCTTCAAATTACCAGACGTTAAGGTTTTACTTGAGACTTCCATACAGCTAGTAACGCCCGAAGCTTGGCAGAATGCTATCCGTCATGTTGTGAAGGAAGAAACAAAAATGTGGCAGCTTGACCACCACATCGACACCATCATAGAGCCAGTTATAGTCAAT